AGCTATTATCAACAATAACAGTAAGAACTTTCTCTATCCAAAACTCAGTATGGACGTACATTTAAACATTAAAACACGAGTTTTTGTTTGAGTGATCCGTGGGTGATGTTTCAGACAATTTGAATGCTGAAATTATATAGCTTTTAAATGTTGTTCACATTATGTTGATCGGACACTTAAGTCAGCCTGTCTTTATCTCATGATTTTTTATCAGAGCATGATTTTTATTTTTTTTTATATTCTGATTGAATATTTATGAGGAAATTATGCTAATAAAGTGCTATTTTATGCTATTAGAAAACACAATATCATTAGAAAACACTTTTGAAATCTTATCAGTTATTTGATTTATTAGAACGATGTAATTGAATAATGAAAATGAACTACAAATAAGTTCAACTGTATGCCGAGACAGCTGAGTAAATAAGAAAAATCAAGTTATGTAGTCCTTATTTTTCAATATGTTAAAAATATGTTAATACTCATGCTGTATGCCATAAAAAATACTGTAATAATACATCACACGTATGATCAACTAATTTGCAGTTGGTCAAAGATTTTCGTCTTTATTATTGTATGATTAAAATGTTTACCTTTGTTTCTTGAAAAGCATTGGTTCTTGAATCAGTTTTTAGTAAGAAACATCACATAGTATTAGAGTTGCTACTACATTATATAAAGTAGCTGCTCACGTCCGCATCATAGGAGACGGTACTGTTAGCGTGCACTGTGGAGTGGAACTGTGGAAGAAGGTGCGATGGATGCAGTAATTCAGTACACTAAAACAATTTAGGTGTTTATTTTCTACGCTCAAGGATTAAGGCAACGTAATGAGTAATCTTTTTTAGACGAAATTGAGATGTTGGTATTTTAAATGATGAATCGTGAAAACATAGCAATTCTGTGAGAATGTTCAAGATCTCTTACAAAATCTGTGCAATGGCGGTTCGGTGTAATTCCGTGAGAATTTCGAAATGCAGTACTCCTGATCATTACCTTAAATTTCCAATCGGGCTTACCGCGTGCCGAATATTGCCACACACAGTGTCGGAATATAGGGATTTGGTAGGTTTGCATTCTAAAGGCTTTTAAATAAATATGGCAACATTTTGTGACGTTTCATTGTTGTTGGCGCGTAGTACGGTGTTTTGCAAGTCACATAAAGCAAACAGAACTTGAGTAACACATACGGTTATTTTTTTATAGTTTTTCATTTCTCGATGCATCCTTAACCCTTTACGCCCTGAATTTCTGGGATGAAAATCGTAAAATTCACTTTTTCGGTTTTAAGTCTCACTTCAAAGCTGACATTCTGACCTATCCAACGGTACCAAAATCGTCTCTGTACGTTGATTTATGCCTTGACGACAGTTCATAAATCTAAGACTTTTTTTATTCGTGTGAATTTTTCGAAAAAATGACAGAAAACGTGAAATTGTTGGAAAACCGATGTTTTTTTCTGTGTGACGAATTCGTCACGCCAGGGCGTAAAGGGTTAATGTGTCGGAATATACCGCGTTTACCCTATTTGTATCTCATTTATATTCATATTGCATTTTTCTAATTTTTTCTCTTTTCAGCTATATATAATTGTCATTAAGATCAGAATAAATTTTTTTGCTCATTGTAAACTATTATATTATAGAATGGTTTCATTGGTCTAATATTAATCATATATAACCAAAACCATGGTAGGTATAGGCCACACTCAGGATGATGTATGTTTTCGGTGAATTTTCCCGCGCATTCTGACTTTTTTTTAAGCCATTGCTGCACACAGTTGGCGCAATGTAATCAAAATTGTTTCTCTTCGCGCACATGTTCGCGCAATCCCAGCCATCAATTCTACGCCGCGGAAGAGCAGTTTGTGGAGGAACAGACGTAATACTACAGTATGCCTTTAATTATCTTTCAATAATATACAATTTTTCTTAATACAGAAATTTGGTGAATGAGAAATCTAGAACTTTATTTTAGATGAAATTTTCTCCAAAGTCATATGGCAACACTGAACACCGTCTGTTTACATTACGTATGTATAATAGCCGCAGTTTACAATTACCGTACGTTTCGTAATCCGTATCTGACAAGCGGAAGAGTCAGAAGTAACCCGGACATGTCTTACATTTTATTATTGTTAGTTCGACTCGCGTAGTTGATATAAACTTTGATCTTTGATGACCAACGAAATATAACTTTTTAATAGGGAGACTTCATGTTTATTATACTACAAGTAATGATCTTTATTTAATTAGAACCATGTTGAAATGTTTTTTTTTTTAAGCCCGCTTCTAGATCATTAATGTTTTTATATACATCCTCGTATTGTTAGGGATGCTCGCCGCTTCCATCAGATCTTAAAATGTAAAAGTTTAATAGATACAGATTTGTATGATGAATAATGCCATTCAATATCGTTAGCTACATTAAATTGAGGGTGAAACATGGGAATGGTAATGATTAATATATCTGAAGCAACCTTTACAAATTAGCGTCAAACAAGCAAACGGATGTCATGTCAACCGGAACACGTCTCGGACAAATTTACGGCCGGTCTCGCGGCCGTCAGAGTACCTGGAATATCTTTCAAAGTACTGAACGTATCTCGATGAAACTTTGTACACATATTCGTTATGGCCTAACAGTGATGTCGAGCTTGTGACAATTTTTTTAATATCGCCTTCATTCGTGAGTTATATGATGAAACGTGCCGACATTTGCAGTGTACCAGCCATTTCTTCCAGAGCACTGAACAGATCTGAATGAAATTTTGAATATAAATTTCTGAATACTAAACGGTGATGTTTAGCTCATGAAAATTTTTTACGTTTTGCCTTCGTTAGCGAGTATTTTTCTCTTTTCCCTCATTCATGATTTAAACAGCAAAATAGTGCTTAAATTAGCAGTGTACCAGAGATTTATTCTGAAATACTGAACAGATTCGAACAAAACTTTGCATATAGAAACCTAACCTCCCAATAGTGATGTTTAGCTCGTGAAAATTTTTTTATTTTGCCTTCGTTTGCGAGTTATACGGCTTTACGTATATGGCTCTTGGTCAATGCAAGTTCAAAAATCGGCCTGAGAAATGCCGGTCATTTCTCTGTATATCCGTATAACTCGCAAACAAAGGCAAAATGGGAGGTTAGGTTTCTATATGAAAAGTTTCGTTTGAATCTGTTCAGTATTTTAGAAGAAATCTCTGGTACACTGCAAACTTAAGCACTATTTTGCTTTTTAAATCACGAATGAGGGAAGAGAGAAAAATACTCGCCAACGAAGGCAAAACGTAAAAAATTTTCACGAGCTAAACATCACCGTTCAGTATTCAGAAATTCATATTCAAAATTTCATTCAGATCTGTTCAGTACTCTGGAAGAAATGGCCGGTACACTGCAAATTTCGGAACGTTTCGTCATATAACTCACGAATGAAGGCGATATTGAAAAAATTGTCATGAGCTTAACATCACCGTAAGGCCATAATGAATATGTGTACCAAGTTTCATCGAGCTACGTTCAGTACTTTGGGAGATATTCCAGGTGCACTGAATTTCGACACCGGCCGTGAGAGCGGCTGCAAGTCCGGCCGTAAATTTGTCTGAAACGTACCGGAATCGAACACCACAGCAGAGAGTATTTTATGCAGCTAATGAATTTCGCAAACTTTGCTGGAAGTGAGATTATTGAATTTTAGAAAAAAGGCGGAATAATTCAATGAAGGGTCAAGGGTGGTAGCAGAACTGCAATCTTGATACTCTATGGCGATTTGTGCAATCATAACCTACGTAAAAATTTTCATATGATAGTTATAATTTTTGCACATTCAAAGTACATATGACATAACGCACCCAGATTTGGAAACCATAATTGCTCAAATGAAGCAAAAATAAATGACAGACCATTGACTTATCTTGCAAATATATATATTCATATTTTGTATCACATAGTTTAATTACGCTCTGTAATTATGCCGGCTTGACTTAATTTGTATAGTCCATTTACGCGCATTGTTATTAGGTATTGATCGTGTCAATTTTGCCGGCCGGGAGGATGTCGGGACTCGGGAATGTAGTCCCAGCATTGGCATGCAGGTTCATACTGTTGACATACAGGTTCATACCTTACTTGCCGCAACCAGTCCAGACTCCAGTCATTCATTAGAAGGCACCGATGGCACATCTAAAGCCATGTTCAGTATTAACTCATATCCAACCACAACACAATGCGGATACACGTTTGTGTGTACTGTGTACGGTCAGTGTGATTGCGTAAATTGCGTTGCCGCGCGTCCATATTTAAACTATTTTAGCTTTCTAAAAGTACGGCGCATGGTGCATTTTTTTTACTGGCATAGTACGGCGCACCGCGGTGACTGCGCAGGTCGTTAAAATGACAAAATAAATTCCCGCGCACCTGGCACATCTTCCTGACCATGGGGTAGCCTATAGGCTTTACTCATATCAATTATCAAGACAGGAATATGGTGGGTGCCTGGAGGCTGGATGGTGATGTCAAAGTCAAATGTCATGATGTCATTGATATGGACACTGTCACACTGGAGTCAGGACTATGAACAGAAAGTGGTCAGTGGATTATAGACAACTATTCAACTTCCGTCTAGGCTAGTATGGAATATATCTACTTGGCGAGCCGCGACTGAATTTTTCGAGCCGTGGTTTTATGGATTTGCCAGCCATGATTCCATTTCTACGAGATTGCGGAAGTTGAAAATTTTATGAAATGACATGTTTGCGAAGTGCAAACCGCGATTTTTTAATCAAACAAAAATTTATGACATTCGAGCCGCGAGATTTCATACCTACTGAAATTATATGATATTAGAGCCGCGATATTTCAGACAAAAATAGGACTTTTCCAGACTAGGACTCACTCTAGGTACCCCGACCCGTTAGTCCCGTAGCCCCATTATTTCAACAGCCGAGCTTCAACTTTTAATTTACACCTATACTAAAGAAAATTTAATAAAAGATTACTTACCAGGAACAGAATCCATTGGTAGTTGCTAGTTGGCAGTGATTTAAGCCAATTACAATTTGAAACTAATAACACGTACGAGTGTTTGTGTAAAATGAACCTTTGATTGTAGTTCCAACAACATGCATATTCCGTGGTCATTTCTGAAACTGCGGAAAATTTTCTTCTAACTCATTTCTCTGCAAAAAAATAATTAAAAAAGTATGCAATCAAAATTGTTAACTATGGAGCGAAAGCAACCGGATGAAGCAAACTAAAAAACTGTGCTGCAACTTATTCACGCGACAACATTTCTTCTCGCTTCGAATTACGTCTGGGACAAATTTACGGCCGGTCTCGCGGCCGTCAGTGTACCAGGAATATCTTCCGAAGTACTGAACGTATCTCGATGAAACTTGGTACACATATTCATTATGGCCTAACGGTGATGTCAAGCTCGTGACAATTTTCTTAATATTGCCTTCATTCGTGAGTTATATGACGAAACGTGCCGAAATTTGCAGTGTACCGGCCATTTCTTCCAGAGTACTGAACAGATCTGAATGAAATTTTGAATATGAATTTCTGAATACCAAACGGTGATGTTTAGCTCGTGAAATTATTTTACGTTTTGCCTTCGTTGGCGAGTATTTTTTTTTCTTTTCTCTCATTCGTGATTTAAACAGCAAAATAGTGCTTAAATTAGCAGTGTACCAGAGATTTCTTCTAAAATACTGAACAGATTCGAACGAAACTTTGCATAAAGAAACCTAACCTCCTAACGGTGATGTTTAGATCGTGATAATTTTTTTTATTTTACCTTCGTTTGCGAGCCGGCCGCGGGTCCGGCCGTAAATTTGTCCGAGACGTGCCGTGTAAATTTGTCCGAAACGTATGATAAAATCGTTCGTACCTGCATGATATCCAGCAAAAGGTAAATTTTTAGCTTCTATTCAAATGGTGTTGAAATAATTTTACTATCGCCAAGCAATGATGTAAAGCTTTTTTAAATAAAAGAATCAATCTTTTATTACCTCATTAATCTTCTATATATATATATATATATATTGCGAAAATATAAATGAAGGGTCTTAATTAAATAAATATTTATTGATGATCTTTAAATGTATCTGTGCCTTAGGCAGTATAAGCCAACATAACGCAACTTCATTACCTGTATAAAGAAATAAAATTTGCGATTTCGGCAGAATCATTGATGCACATTACGAAACACTATTTGAAATGATTTTTAGAAAAATAGTTTTTTTTTGCACCACAGACGATTCAACTATAATTAAGACTCGCTTCGTTTCAAAACAAGATTCAGGATTCATGAACATATTTCTTTCAACTTCGTTGTTTGTATGAGAAAAAATATTATTTACGTAACATTTATTATCCCTCTTTACCTAAAAGAATCAATTTTGAATATATTATTCTGCTGGATAATTATTAATTTTTTTCACCACGAGGTACGGATTGGTATATGGGCATATATTAACAGATATCAACAAAATGTTTGGGCCTCAAATAAAGCCCGATGCATATTTTTTTGACATTTTGAGCGTAGAAACATGGTATTTTGAATGTTTGTTCACTGTCTCCTATTTATTTCCACCTACACAAACATGCAGCTTCATCTGAGGCTAAAACAGGCCAACAATTGGAATAAACGGATTACATTTTGCTTTTGTCATTTGGTTAAGTTGTTGAACATTTCTCCAACCAAACATCATAGATGAATAGTTACAGCTAATTTTCATGTGCTTTCCATGTAAAAGTTCAGAGAATAATATTTATTGGAAACTACACATCTTACCGCGAATAAGTAGAAGCTCAAAAATGATCATAGCTCGAATCGAGACACGTGTCAGCGCTCTTCAATTTCAAATTAAAACTAATAAAATAAAATCAATGGTTTGGTGCGTGACATTCTACGCCTGGCGGCTGTAAATAATTTAGATCGCTTGAAGCTTCTGGGCTGACTATAAAAGTTACGTCATCCATTGTTCGTTTGTGGTCATCCACGGCAATCATGTACGTATCACTTAGGAAATATTTCTCATTTCGAATGCGAGTGCCTGTATCGACGACTAACACAGTCGACGGTTATCTCGGATCTGATTTGACATTAGCCAATAGGCAGAGCAAGCTTCACTACAACACGTGGCGTTGTCAAGCGAGAACTTATCAAGACAAGAGTCACAAGACATCGTCAGTGCTCCATTGCGGACTATGCGAGGTGCAGTAGTATCCTCCCTGTCTCTACCTACCTGCAGAGATCAGCTGAACAAATAGTGAAGTGAAACACTGGCGTGAATTTTTATCGGATTGTGTACAAAGAAGAATACACTCGTCCTGAAGCAGACCTCTCATTGCTTCTCACCTTCACGAACATTTCCTTCGAGTCAATATCTATAAATATCTTAAGAAAAGACGATTTTACAATAAATCATTCATTTGAAATTAATTTCATTTGTATTCTGAAGACACCTCGCCACCAAGTCAAGAAGAAATGAAGAAGTGCAGAATTTCTAACGCGGTTATTTCTACCCTCATATTGGTGATATTTTTTGCAATGTGTTTAGCTACTTATGACGTGAGTAGAGGCTCGAAGCAATACACGCCTAACCTGTTCACTTCTGTCTACCACCCGGGCAAGAGAAATTACTCCTTACTATCCCAAATAACACATAACGTGAAAAATGGAAACCTTGTCTATGAAGCTGAATTAAATTTACTGAAGCTCATAGGCGTTGAAAACTATCCAAGAGTAGCTGAAGCGGAAGCGAAGGCTCATGCACTTGCAGCCTCGGGTTCGGCTGCCGCTAACACAGTACTTGGATTTTTGATGCGTCACAATTTGACCAGTTCAAAATCCAGTGATGTGAACGTGAAAGACCTGGCGGAGAAAGAATTTTTTCGTGAAATGTCAGATATTGATTATTTTATTGAGGCCGCTGGCGGAGGAGATCCCCTGGCCCAGCTTATCGTTGCTGAACACTACAAGTCGCTGCATCGATGCCCCGATGCTCTCGATTTATATAGGAAATCCGCCGTGCAGGCGCTCACAACAATCGACGAATCCAAAATTGCAATGGCTTCATATGGACCTTATGTCGAGCCATCCGACGGTCCCAGTATCCATTGGCCCACTGACGAGGAAATCGAATTTCTGGAATACCAAGCCAGTCATGGAGACGCTGATTCAGCAATGCAAGTTGCCGCCATTTACATCAGCGAAGAGCTTGGTCTTCCTTACGATATCGAGAAGGCTGAACGATATCTGAAAATTGCAATCAACGCTGATTTATCAACAGCAATGATTTTTATGGCGCACCTGCACATAGCAGGTAAAGTTGTAAATTCTGATCTTGGTTATGCAAAAATGCTGTTGGAAAAAGCTTTAGACTTAGGTGATCCCACTGCGCACGCGGCCTATGCTCGATTTTTTTCGGAAGGTTTGGCAGGTGTGCCTCAAAATCTGAATGTGGCAATCGAACATCTACAAAAGGGTATTGAAGCCGGTCACGTTGACTCTATGTATGGTATGGGTCAACTACTATCAACACACTTCGGAGGAGAACGGGAGGCTGAAGCTTTAGAATATTGGTCTATCCCAGCTGCCAATGGACACGTCTTTGCATCTTGGTATACGGCAGAATACTTCACGAAACTGTCACGACCAAACGTACGGGTTATTGGAGCAGGTACTACGGAAGTAAGTTTATTGCTCTGTGAACTGGCACTTCCTTTATACAAAACTGTTGCTCTGGCCGGGGAGTGGTCTAATTTACTATACGCGGCTCATGAAGATTTTGAAAAGAAACGTTACGACGCCGCTGCGATCAAGTACATGCTTCTCTCTGACTTAGGGTACAATGTGGCACACGTCAACTTGGGGCGACTCTTGCAAAGTCAAAAAATTTCCTTGTTCCCTTCAAAAGAGATCCTCGCTATCCATGAAAGAAGAACTTGGGAACGTGCCGCGAACCATTCCATGCCTGTCGGGAACTTACAACTCGCTCATCATTTATACTACGGAACTGGAGGACTCAAGCCAGGCAACAAGAGTCGGGCGGCCCAACACTACCACAAAGCAATGCCCAGCAACACGGAAGCAGCGTTTAATCTAGCCTACCTGTACGAGTGGGGAGAAGGCGTGCAACAAGATATTCAAAAAGCATATGATTTATATACTATAACTTCCAATGCTTCGTATGAATCGTGGTTGCCATCAAAATTAGCTTTAGCCCGTCTGAATTTATTCTGGATTGTAAATTCTACAACAGGATTTAATTTCTACAATTTAAATTACAGTGATTATTCCAGTTATTTGATTGATTTTGGTGAAATTGTACATAATTGCGTTAGTGTCTTTGGTAGCATATTTTATAGCTACGAGTTCTGGCTTTGTTGTTCAATAGTGATATTATTCAGTTTGCGGCGATAATTCATCCTAATAATCGATAGGTTGCCAATTAAGTTAGCTGCAATTTATATATTCCACATTGTTTTTCATCTGCTTGCTCATGTTTACCATGACAATGTTTTCACTTGTAATTCATTCATCAATCAACTTTTGAAATAGATACTAGTCAATGTTATTATTAACTATTTCTATATTCTATACCTATCATACATTATAATTAATTTTCTATATAATAATTATATAACTATTCAAATTTTCAAACTACTTCCATCTTATTTTAGAACAGAAAAATAATTTCCTTTATGATTGAATTGAAAATTTAGCATACAAAAAATAGCGGAGTCACCGTTAAATAGGCCAAGTCTGAATAGAATAGAATACAGTAGAAGTACGGGATTGGAGCGGTGAGTTGTGGGTGTAATCCCAGCTTCCAGTAACACTTCTAGTCAAAATCGGCGAGTTGGCCGGGCGGTTGGGAAAAACAAGATTGGAGCAGTGAGTTATGCGTTCGAAACCGCAGCAAGCTGTAAGAATTCTACGATGTCATGAATCAGCGACAGGCCCCTTGTGAATCAAGTCACGAAAAGTACAAGAATCGGCAATTAACAGGCCATGGCCGGACCTATTTCTTCGGTGCCGGTACTCTCTAACGACTGGGCTCCCAATGAACTCGTATTAAAGTTATCCAACATCAAACGCCAAGTTTTGCACAGACCGCATAATTTTTAATAATATTTTCGTTTGGGCATTATATAATTTGTGACGTATAATAACTTAATAAGTGTCAAGTGTGCTCATTGGCGTTGATGTTCACTGCGCGATTGTATGCAGGATAATAGTGGGCAGAAATGCTTCATAAGTTAATACATTCAGCAAGAAATGCGTTATGAAAGGAAAAGTCTTTAATATCATCAAGACTTCATTATTTGATACCGTTCATTTCTGAATGCATTCGACATTCATATTTTACTCATTCTAACTGTTGTTAATTCTAATTGTTAAATTCATGTCGCATTTGAAGGTTCAGAGGCTCCATTTTGTTACCAGAGATTTGTGATGGCCTTAGATTCATGACCTTTTAGATTATCATGAGGTTGATAAGTTATCAGACCATATCATCATTCTGCGCTTGATGTAGCGTGTAGATAAGATATTGAAATTTGTTTATGAGCCATTTGTCCGCCTTACTACCAAAATAAAAAAAATTAAGCATTCACAAATGATGAAGACCCAAGCATTCATTCACTTCAATATCGAATTTATTGTTATTAATAGAATTCTTTAAAAAAACAAACGCTTATTTGCCGTTTCTGGAAAGTTGTAGCTCTAATGAGCTAATTTATTATACCACCGAGTTAGGGAAGTGTGTGGGCTGACAAATGCGTTGGATGTGCATGTGTTGATCAATACAGGTGTTTAGCTTGAGTCACACAGCAGCGTCACACCTGTGCTGTCTCTCTCGCGACGCACGTGCGATGCGCGGCTGACCAGGCAAAAACTGCAATACACTCACACGTGTTATGAGGTCATGTCAGGAGCGAACTTGCCCTTAGGATTTATTGTTAATTTACTGCTGCGCTGTGTTATTTTAGACATTATTATTGATCACACTGCGTGTAAAACAATGTACTACCAGTGCTGTTTACATGCTCCTATTAAGACCTACCTTAGCTAGTACTTGATTTACGAAATTTAGGCTAAAAATTATATAATTTATTGAATATCATGCTATTTCATGCAAAATATCTCATTAGGTGAATTGTAAAAAATATATTGATTGAAACTATTGTCTATTTGTCGTACGTGAATAAATCGTGTTCCGTTCACATTATCGGGAATAAGATTTAGTTAACCATTAATCTAGCTATCAATAATCATATTAATAAAATTGTACACTGAATGAGTGATTTGTTTGAATTGTGGTGACATTTGAGCCTTTTTTTCTGGACAAATATATTGTAATTTTTTTCTTTTTTTTGTTATCCACATGTACCGCTTGTGCACTTATCAAGCATATCCTCAAATTGTTTTCTTCTTTCCTGTTTTTCGCACTAAAGCTTTTAGACGATGACTAATTGAAATCTCGTGTTCTCCGAATAGCTGAGATCAACCATGCCTGAGACGTTCACGAATTGGTCCATAAAATATGCTCGTCCCTCAATTCTTCTGAGTCTGGAACACGTTGTACAGAATTCACTCTCAGATCATCAAGATTCCTCAAGTCACTCAGTCTCAAGAGAGGTCCTTTATTCAATGCGAGACTTTTCCTGAGTTGAAGTGAGTTTGTTAGTTTAATAACTTCAATGTTAACAAAGTCGCGAAGTGGCGACAGTATCATCACCAAGGGCATACGAGCCTCGCTGCTTGCACTTATGCTCAGTCTTCGAATTGTTGTTTCTCACACTTCACAGTTAACTATAATATATCCCTCGAAGTAGATCATAAGAGCAGCATTGCATGTCGCGCGTGATATAAAAAGTTCATTCGGGCGGTTTCCGGAAACCCGAACCATTTTTCGTTTTCTTACTGTGACTTCAATGAAAGTCGAAGTGAACTCAGTCGTGGAGGCCTCGTAGATTTTGGGTGAAAGAAATTCATGAGTGCTAAACATGAATTTTGTGGTTCGTGTTTTATCTCTATAAATGAGTTTATGCTGTTCCTCGATTGCATTTGATCAAATGTTCTTAACTGCGCTAGTTTTTTTTTTTTCATCTCTACGAAGCTCAAATAAAATAACTTTCTAATGCTAGTTTTCATTTACCTTTTTTCGGGAAGAGGGCTTTTTTTTTTTTTGAGGCAATGAAACGCTAGCCCCCAACATTTACCTTTACTACAACCGAGCAAAAACTTTTTCCATAAAATCATTTACAGCCGTCAGTCGGTAAAACTTTCTTTTATCAACAATTTAATATCAGCACGAAACTTATGCGACTATGATCTTGATTTTAAATCTGTATAACTATGAAAACATTTCACCATCAAAAACAACGAAGAAAGAAGCAATGAAGTTAGTACTCTGTAAAAATATGAACCAAATCTCCATATATATGGTGGACAACAGAAAGCTCAACAATCACCAGCCTCTTTTGAAAATAAGAAAGTGATTATAATGGCCAATTAAATATTACTCTAGCTGGAGATTGATCCGTATTGTAAAAATCTTCTTTAATGATGCTAGAATGAATCGTTGATGATTCGTTTTACTTATACTGTCCGATCATAATTTATTTGGCCAAAACGCCAATTTTAATTGAGTTTAAAGGAACTAAGGTACAGGAGCTTCAAAAAAACTAATTTTGTTTGATTTTCGATGGCTGACTCGAGACGAAGAAGCCACGACAAAGAGCAACCAGCTTCTTGAAGGCCTTGTAAGCGGCGTAGAGCAGCAACAGCACCACGACCTCCACGTCCAGGTACAGCAGCTGTGCCCACGACAAGTCACGCTCTGGCGACCGCAGGTGCACTGCTCCGTGGTGTCTATCGGGCGAGAACATCTTTTAATTCAGGTATAGATAATCTATTAATTCACATCTAAAACATCTTTTAATTCAGGTCTAGACAACCTATTAATTCAAGTCTAGAACATATTTTAGTTCAGGCCTGGATTATTTTCTAATTAAGGTCTAAAACGCCATTTAATTCAGGTCCACAATATCTCTTAATTAAGATGTAAAATATTTTCTAATTGCAAAAAAATCTTTTAATTTAATAAAGATCACCGTGGTGCAAGTAGGGCAACATGGGGCAGCGCGCCTCCCCCTTTTTACAAAATAAATTTTTGATGAAGTTTTAATTGATACGAGATGATTATTTGTTTTTTTTAAAGGTACAACTAATGAGGAATGTATAATGTTATTTAGGCGCCTATAGAGTTATTCAATTTTTAATGAAACACTATTTTGTAAAAAGTGTCAAAACGGGCCCATTGCCCCACCCCTGGGGCAATGGGCTTGGGGCAAGGCGCCCAACCTTGGTCCCTTTACCACAATTGCATATTTTTCGTTTAAAAATGATAAAACAACACTTTACAGTTAAAAATAATAAAAATGTAATAAAAATATGACATTCATTCATTTACTAACAACTCAAAAAAATCATATCCTTAACTTGAAAAAATGTGCTCTTGGCTAAAAAAATCTATCACTGACATGAAGAAAAATATTTCATTGACATAAAAATATATAACCTTGACTTGAAAAATATATCCTTGCGATAAGAAATTCGCCCTTGACATGAAAAAATGAATCCTTGACTAGAAAAAATATATTTAGTTGATCAGAACAAAACTTCGTTCTAGTTTCGTCCATAATCCAGATATTATGTGCAGGGAATTCGTACCTAATCGTCATTTCAGTTAGCACCATAAAAACTCATCAACTTTTGGCTCATTGGTATTGACTGAAATCAACTTTTGGCAAGGCAAGAGTTAATAACTCGATATAGGGGTCATAAATACGCATAACTAGAAACTAAACCTGCTGCCTTGAGGCGGCAAATCAAAAAATCATGCAATATGAAGTGTAATTTGTAATTCAAAAAGCTAGTCATAGTTTTGAAAAGGTCATTGAGACAAATCTAATGATATGGGCTAAAACAGTTATTCACAAATAACTTAATAACGCAAACACTTAGCAAAACGTAAATCCGTACACTTCATCCCAGTGAAACTGTCGACCGGCAGTAGAGAACACGGACCAATATCTGTCATACTTAGCGAGAAACCCGCCATGGGCCCATGACCCGCAGTGGGCTCGCTGCCCCGTGTTACCCTATATCTTTTTATTCAGATCTTATTTTATTTAGATGCAGTTACGATGTCATGTGTAATTCAGATCTATAGGACGGGAAAATTTCACTTTCACAATACGTGGATTTTAGTTCTAGGAAACTTGTATTTCAGCTCTTTGGTAAATGTAATTCAGCTCTAAAATACTTTAAATCCGAATAAAATCTAAAAAAATTAATTTATATTTGAAATTTGCGATTGGGCGATTTCATTTCAATTTTCCCCCCATCTTCCCAATGACATTTTTTTTAATATAATCCAAAATGTTTTGGTTGACGATCGCTCAATGAGATACTAATGTGTGTCAGCTTATTTACTATTCGATATAGTGCGGTGACAGGGAAAAATTTTTTAAATCAAGCAGAGATTTGAATTTCCGATATTTGAGCATGTATGGTTACTCTTATTAAGAAAGTATATAGGTCGTATGAAAACAGGGTTAATTTTTCAACAATTATAATTAATATTACCTAGTTAATGGAGAGATTTGTATTACTTAAATTACCAAATGAATTTTATTGTTATACTCTCACCTTATGACGTATTCCGTCCAGAATACCGCCGTGTCCACGGGACTCATCGGTTGGTCTTTGAAAATCGTTGAAACTTGAGAGGCACGATCGCGGTATCTGTGCAAGAAAATAAAAAAGGTTTTTCGGCAAGGATGCGTGACTCTTATACTCTGTCAATGATATTTGAACAAATTATCGGAATTAATTAGGAAAATTTAGTCCACAATTAGGTCCCCCAGCCGATCATATGTAGAAGTGAGCCATCAAATAAATGGAATGACGCTGCTAACAACTGTCTTGGTAACTGTCGATACCACTACATGCAAGTCTTTACATATGTTGTGCCATTATATCTCATTGCAAATATTTGCATACTAATCCTAAGTACTGATATGATCAACGCTTCTCCGATATTCTTGTTTTACTATTCGTTCTACATTTTCCCTCAAGCCTTGCGGACGGGAATTCTTTTTTTTTTATCGCTGCTTCGTTCAATTCCTTCAGAAGCTGACCCACCTAAAAAACATTTCTTACGCTTCATAAAAACTCACTTTGAGTTGTTCATGACTTCATACACAGCTGCAAGGATGGCTTCTTCGGTAACAGATGACCACTCAAGTCTAACGGCAACGCCCAAGTTTTCAAGAGCCACAGCGTTCTTAATCTGATCGCCGAAGAGGGGCAGGCAAACTATTCCCGTGCCGTGGTAGACCGCCTCCTGAGAACCCAACCACCCGCAGTGGTAGATGAAAACCTTCACATTTGGATGAGCTGTGCGTGAAGTAGAAAAATGTTAAGATACACTCAGTGAACTTTGAGCCTTCCAAGCCTAAAATTTTAATTGCTATAAACAGTGGCGGAAATAATGCAATCACGTTTAGATGTTGAATTTAGGTAACTATTTGGTTTTCCGACACATTAACCACAAGAAAGCATTTGTATCACAAAATAAGAATAGATTTAGATTGGCACGCTGCCTCACCAAGAACATCTTGTTGAGGAAGCCAGCTTTTCATCAATACATTTCGAAGCGGCTTAGGCGGTTCTTGTTCGAATTTCCAAATTACTTTGAAAGGAAGTTTTTCGAAGGCAGAAAAGAAGGCCTGCTTCGCAGCTTCCGGCATGATGCTACTGTTGAGCATGGATCCCAAGCTCATGTACACAACAGGTGAGCTTCCCGATAGAAATTCGTCGATGTCCTGCGTGGAATAACCTTCATTTGTAGCGGCAAAAAATCTCAGTGTCTATCTTGGGTTTCGAATGATATGAAAAATCTCTCGCTGACCTTATATAATTCGTTTTGCTTGAAAGAAAAAATGATGAAAAATTATATCACTGCAAACAAACGCAAGGCTCAGCGTGACAAACTGGAAAAAATGTTCTCACCTCTGGGAGAGGATTTCCAGGTCTGAGATGCATGCCTCCCACTTGGATTTGGTTTGGCACCACAGGGTATGGGAACTCGAGGCTGAAGTGGGAGTTCATCAGAGCTAAGCTTTGGTTGCGGATGATGTCAGAGAAAGGGGGCAAATGCGGGAACTGCTTCTGAAGCTAAAAGAAGCAAAAACAAGTTAAACCCTATGATTGTAATCAGAATGATTACCCAAACGTTGCTTATTCGTGCAAACTTCTTATTAAAAATAAGAATTAATTTCATGTTCGTCCCTACATTCCTAGGAGATGGCAAGGACATCCATGTGCTAAGTTCGCATAAACAATGCCAATTGATCTCTGAGAAAATATCAAACTATGTCTGTCGTTTGTACATGCTGGGTGTTTTTATTTGAATCAAATTTACGAAATGCAAACTTGCCTCTTCCTCCACTGGATCAATGGTCGAAGAGCCCCACAGGCGGGGAAGCAGGAGGCTAATGAAGAGACTCTTGACGCGGCTGCCGATGGAGAAGGGACGGGTATAGTCTTCGATCATGTTGCCCACGTACGCAGGGTTCTGGAGGTTGCCCAAATGGGCGCTCTGGATGGGGTCCATCGGCGCTGGATTGATCGTGATGTAAGTTCGCTCGTGCACGAAAGGAAGTCCAGCCTTAGTGATTGAAAAATCATTTGTAATTAGAAATGAATAAAGATATTCAATTACTTAGAGATTAAAATTTGTGAAGCAGTACGAAGAAAAGTTATGTCTTCGCGTTTTGTCATTTAGATATTAGCAGGATAGAAAATACATATGAGAACAAAATACATATGAAAAATTAAATATCGAGGTTTCGTTTCGTTTACTCGATTCTCATTATTACTCACTCACCTCACCAATGATGTGGTCCAATATTATGAGGTCAAACTCATCCCTTTTTTCGTACAGCGCCTTGATAGGTGGATCGTTGTAGAAATCTTGCGCCATCAGACGACAAATGCTAGCGAATACATCGAAAATCTTCATCGGCTCAAGTCTCAGGGCAAATAAGTCAATGTTATCGGGATTTGCATGAGTAACACCATGCCTGATTTGAACGATGTTTGGATGTTCTCCTTCCAAAGGCTTCAGCGCATTCAAAACTGTGACCTGCAAGTGATTATTGTAAACATGAAATTTTGATGTAATATTAAAACACATAAGAAAGGTGCACAATATGTATACTGTATAATGAATTCGCTCCGTGACCAGAAGGTTCGCCCAAAATCTTCATTATAAATCGATTAAGACGTAAAATGAATTTATGGGATACTTTTTTTTACAAACCAAATCGTTTAGACCTGCGCGAATTTGGAGCGCGTTGACCTGCTCGGACCTGTTGGCCGGCGCATTGCAAATTCATTCATTCAGGTAGAAGAAGAATCAAATAAAAATATTCGTTTTCCAATGGAGCTTAACCATTCAGTAAACAAGGCATTTAATGAAACGTCATAGTAGAAAAAATATATTCAATGAATAATAAAAAACAAACATACCTACATATACGTATATAAAAAAATATAACTCAGTACTCACAGCAGTGAGTGACAGAGAGCGCATTTTCTCGTCGACGAAAACTTTAGGTCACGGACGGACGGAGAGACGGACGGTCAGACAGACAGACGGACATGGCGAGCACAATAGTGCATTTTTTCCATGAAAGAGAAGATGCGCTAAAAAGGAGCAAAAGTCCAACGATGATTCGGCTCCATCCACTCGGACTTTCGCCTCCATTATCCTCTCCACTCATCACAACTCAACTCTTGACATCCTCCTACGCTCCTCCTCTAGTCTCTACAGCCATAGTTGCTCGCTCAAACAATGCTATCCACTCCTCACTTATTCTCTCAGCTCTCACTCTATTACTTATACTCCCAACCACCTCATTCGTAGGATGTCTCTCTCATATGCCCCACATTCCATCATCAATTGCAACACAGTTTCCTTTTCATTTCTATCAGTCACACATAAAGAATTTGTCGTCCCTACCATCACTCATCACCTTTACATAGGCCCATTCACACACAGCGCTCCTGCTCACACATTTCAGCGAGTCTACTTACATCATACATTATGATACATACATAAAATGTACATATTAAAATGGGAAAACTGCTGTTCTGTAGTAAGATCTGTCACTTTTTATAGCACGTGATCTTGTGTAAATATATAAATATATATTTATATTTTTAAATATATATAAATTTAAACAAAATATTTAATGTTTTTAATTGATCGATAGTCGTATTTAATTACAGCATCGAAAAGTCTTCACAAATTATGAGTCCCACCTTATGTCCTCTTTCGGCAAGCGCCCTGACGAGTGGCATGAAGAACACTCTGTGGCTTCCAGGCGAAGTTGGCATGATCAGAAGAATATTGTACGGTCTTTCAGGGGGAGCTAATGCTGCCTCACTGAAGATTATGCCTAAACTAAATATTACTAATTGTTTGAGCAACATAACAAATAGAATTTAGAGGTATTGATTACGGTAAAATTTCTGTGATGAGGAAAAAAGGGAACGCGAATGGGTAAGTTTAGGACGTCAATCTACATTGAATAGTTGCGTGCAGAAAGCTTGGATGAAGTTCGATACCATACTCAATATTATTCTTGTTGGCTTGACCTTGGATGCTAAAAACAATGAGGAAGATAGCGATAAGCTTGCAGCTGATATGAGTCGCATGGAGAGTTATGTGTTGATTTGTCCAGTACATGCGACGTATGTTTTCACGTTTTATTGTTTGTCATCTGCATTAATAAATCAAAATTACCCTTACTTTGCATGGCATAATAAATGATAATTAACATAACTGTAATTTGATTAGAATAATGAGTACCATAGCATGAGTCAATTTTTATTAAAATCAACTTTGTAAACTTATGTAGAGTTGGGTAAATTGATCATTTAGATGATTAAATATCGTTTTAAATGATCAAAGCACAGCTTAATGAAACGAATTGATTGAAAATTAAATGAACAAATAGATAGTTGTAAAAATTGATTATGAAACGAAGCAATATCAACTGTAAAACTTTTTACCAGAATTATTGTTACATCACACAGTATTGACGAACGCCCACTTAGTTTTTTAGATTTTGCGTACTTCTAGTACAGTATATTCACATCGCATTTTTGTCCTTACTAATTTGAGACAAGCCTAACAGAACTCGTGAATAAGTTTTTTGAACAAATGGGCGCTTATTAACCGGACTAGTACGCAGAAGAATAAACAGGTTTCGTTGAGCCCAAGTCCAGTTCTAGCTGAAGCCTAAAACGAGCACGTCTAGTCTCTAGAGTTAGATTGTTGGCAACTTGGCAAGATATTATTTATAGTGCAACTTAATTTGTAACAATGCTTTGCTGTAGTGATAACTATATTAAATCTTATTCTAGCTTACATTACAAGTTACAACTAACGGACTAACCTACAGCGATAGCGCCGCTCGATGTACTGATTGCATGTTTAGCCGGTAAGCGTTCAATCCTCGAGAAATTTGCCTAGTCATTGCAGAAGCCCAGAAGGTTGAGAAACCCTCGCATTTTCGTAACTAATTCATTAGGATCATTACTTCTGTTGTTATTATACAGAATGGAAGTATATCAAGAAGCTATGCGAAACCTCGAATTTCGAATTATTTTATAGAGATAGATTTTCTGGCCTCTGGCGTGGCCTCGTGGGACATTCTGTGCATGAACTATCCTAAAAAATTAACAAGAATTTGACCTTGAACGCCACAATGCTTTTCGCAATCATGATTGGTACCTAGCCTGTCCTTGGTAGAACTTAGAAGGCTTTTGAAGTACCTATTCTGCGTATCGGGAAGGTAGGCGGTAGCCATTAGCCAACAATGAAAATTGAAAAAGTGGTGTAATAAGTTCTTTCATGTTATTGCGCTTGAAGTAAGGCTAGTAAGCAAAGGACAGATTTTGAATATGCCTATATATCCTGTCCATTTTTTTTTCTATGCACACAAAAATCTGGTATCCATTTTCAGACTTTCAGTTGCGGTTGTGCAGCCTATGGCTCCTTTTACTCTTAGTGCTTAAGTGCTACAAGCTACATTATCTACATATTAATGATTAATCTTCCTATGTACCAGACTACCAGAGGACCAGAGCCTTGCTGCCTTTTCAATTTTCATATTGTAGTTGATTAGAATCTAGAATTCAGATTTTAGATATTGGTTTAGGTTAGGCAGAGATGCAGAGTTACTCAGTTAGTGTCAATTTCATTTGAAGGCAGTTGTACACTTGTACCTAGAATTTTTAGGTATTTTAAGATGAAAATTTGCCAAGTGGGGCAAACCTATGCTTTACTAAGTTTACTTGTTTGTTGTACCTAAATTTGTAATGTGCTTCTTCTGTAATTTTTTGTTAACTATTATTAATTATTTAGCTGAATCTTCAATATTTCCTTTCAGGTTCTTTCAATTTTATTTGAGAAAACATCCATTTTATACTAGCTACAAACATGGCAGGAAAAATTGTTGTATATGGTGGAAAGGGTGCTCTTGGCAGTGTTGTGGTGAAACACTTCAAGGAACTCAATTATGTAAGTGGCATTTGAATGTGTATATCCTTTCAAGATATGATTCATCAATTCATGTTTCACATATGTTGGAGTATGTCATTGTCATATAGCTTTAAATTTCACCTGAGCTGTCTGCTAATCTCAGGCAAAATTCTGACTTGATTCATTGACTGCCATCAATGACACTTATAGTCATATTCATAGTGGCACCGTTAAGACTGTTATACCCTAATTATAATTATAGACTTTCTTAATTCTATCAGGACTTGAGAAGTAGACTAGCTAAAAAATGTATCACCTAAGTGCTATGACATTGGCATTTGGCAAGGTTATTGGCATTTATGGTAGCAAGAAAGTTCACATTTTGTTCATGTATTAGGACATTGTTATGAAAGCATAGTGACACTGGACACAACTACACAAGTGCTGATGTGAGCGTGAAAACTGGCCTTGAAAATATCTTCTTTCTAAGTGGCAACAGGAGTTTACCTACCATTTTTGAAGATGCAAGATTCCACTTTGATGCATTATATCTTACTTATATAATTGTTAACCAAAATGCACAAAGAACCCAAGAGTATTGAAAAGATACCTATAACATTTTAGCTGCAAGGATTCAGTAATGTGTGGAAATTTTCCCATCTGGTGTGAAAACTTTAATTTTTTTATATCTGAGGTTACCGGGCCAGGCAGGCCTCCCCTGCTGCTGCTGCCACTTAGGCTAGTTAGGCACAATGATGGCACTATGGCCATCTGAGAAAAATTGGAACTTGAGTGTTATATGGTACATCATGATAATTTTATTCAATCCATTAACATTGAGAAGTTCTATACATAACTTGAAGTTGAAGATGTTAACGCTCTAACAAAATAACATGGCTTTCATGCTCCAAATTTGAGATTTCTGAGAAAATTTTGAATTTTGTGACTCAACCATGTGTTTATTAACCATCATTAACCTGCTGACTCATTTAGTATAAATTTTTACTGCTTCAGAATTGTTAGAAAGTTGTGGCTTGGAAAGTATACAATTTCTACACATTCCTTAGCAGAGTCTGAGAGATTGAAGGCTGGTGCCTTTTTCCTAATACTACAGCAAAACTATTTGGTTTTATTGCTTGTCTATCCTTAATTTTGTTATTTCTTGGGTGATAAATTTTTATTTGTATCACTATAATAATTAATTTTTCAGCTTGTTTGCTATTGATGGTTTGGTGAGACTCTGCTGGTATGATTAATTTCTCTGTTTTACTTTCACACTACCAGACAAGTGATGTTATATCAACATTGAATGAAATGTTTGATTGAATCAACATTGATTCACCATTGTTTCAATGTCCTTTGCCTGATAGGATGTGTCCTGTTTGAGAACTAAATGCATGTTAATGATTTACCATTGTTTCAATGTCCTTTGCCTGATAGGATGTGTCCTGTTTGAGAACTAAATGCATGTTAACATTTTTTTTTACTTGCAAGAAGTAAAAGTCTTGACTTAAATATATACACTCTTCTCCAGTGGGTTGGCAGCATTGATTTAGTATTAAATATACCCGTATACACTCTTTTCCAGTGGGTGGGCAGCATTGATTTAGTGAACGTTGATGATGCCAACATCAGCATCGCTGTTAACAAGAATGAAGATTGTGATACTCAAGCCAGTGCTGTTATGAAGCAGCTCTCTGAAGCCCTGGCTGATGGTTCTAAACTGGATGCTTTCATCAATGTGGCTGGTGGATGGGCTGGTGGCAATGCTGCTTCTGATGGTAATTTTTATTTTACAGCCGTGTGGTAAAACTGATTTTATTATTTATTTTGTCTGCATTCAGTTTAACTTCATTGGAAAAAACTGTATAAGACAGCAGATCTTAGTTCATATGAATTAATTTATCACTTTTTACACAGTTTTTCTGATTAATCATTTACCAGTGAAAAATTGTCACCTAATTTTTTTATGTATTTTCACTGTGTAAACAATATTTTCATCTAAAATTATATAAATGATCAAGGATCAATTATTATTATTAGTATTATTTATTGTTATTATTAATGATCATATTTAGGTACATTTAGGAAAAGTTAAAGTCTCAGTACCAACAATTGATTCAGTTGAGTGGTTTCCTTTATATTTTGGTTTACCTCCTGCAACTGTATATTTATTCATGCACCTGCCTTATATTAAGCTCTTTCCCAGGCCTGATCAGCAGTAGCGTACTGATGTGGCAGCAGTCAGTCTGGTCTTCAGTCATCACTGCTCAGGCTGCTGCTAAGTTCCTGAAGCCTGGAGGTCTGGTTGTGCTGCCTGGTGCTCATCCCGCTCTTGCTGGCACTCCTGGTAATTGAGCCACTAATGCTCGAGTTGTATCTGGCCATTGCTAGCAATGTAATTAAATGCATTTTTGTCACAATGCTTATAGGCCCTTGTGGATCTTGTGAAAATGCACTGTAAGAATGAAGAGGGCAGCGTGTGTTCTTATTACTTATACACTGTCCACAAAGATCACGGCATGATTTTAATTTGTGTCCTTTAAGCAATTTGAAAGTCTCCATGCATCACTTGTAATTACTGAATGTTACAAATCTCCATCCTGAATCCATTGATCAACAGGGGAAAATTTTTGTTTCGGTTTTGTGACCTTTATTAGAATAAGAACAATCTCATTACCTATTTGTGCATTTGTATGAATCTAACTGTAATTACCTGGTACACAAAAAGACATAATCACTTAATAATGATTTTCATTGAATGTATTCATTGTATAACATTAGATACACTAGTATTTGCGTGTATCACACGCAAATCGAATTCCCCAGTGGGCTGTTTCTTGGCATAATAATCACATTGTCTCAGACATTGTTATACCTAGTATGATATCATACTTGAACGTATATCATACCAACATATTACACCAGTTTTGTAACTGATTCCAAGACCTAGCAGGCTATCATGAACCAGCTTGACCAGCAGCTCTTTTCGGTTATATTAAATAAATAACAGCCGAATACAGTAAGGTGGCCGATTCAACTCTAAGGCTCTGGGTTTTAAGTATGGAATTAATAGACTAGCATTTGGCAGTTGAGTTTTATATTGGTGTGATTAATTCTCAAAGCAATGTGAGTAAGATATATAAATGACATGCTATCTTCAGTTGTTCCTAATACTTAAATTCTTTCTATGCTCAAATTAAAAAAATGTTTTTTCTCTTGCTCAAATTAAAATTAAATCAAATCAAAAATTAAAATTCCAAGTTGCATGTCCTCGTATCTCATTCGTAATCTTACGCATTCATTTCCAAGGTATGATTGGATATGGCATGGCTAAAGCTGCAGTGCACCAGCTCACGCAGTCGCTGGCAGGGCCAGGATCAGGTCTGCCTGATAACGCTACAGCGCTCGCCATCCTGCCTGTCACGCTCAACACGCCCATGAATAGGAAGTGGATGAGCAAGGCTGACTTCAGCACCTGGACTCCTCTCGACTTTGTTGCTAAGTGATTAGATCTTTCTCAGTTTGATTAAGTTCATGCAAATTTTAGAGTATCTTATTTTTTGTTGTGTGCATGTTCGTTGTGTTCATGTATATTTTTAATTAGGTATCAATCTTTTGAGCACGGTTGATTCAGGCGATAGTTGATTAGATGAAGAAAAATAAAATCAATCCTATTGTCGAGTACAAATGAAACTTGTTAGTTATCATTTACTATTCAAAATTGTTCGCTTTTGCTGTGAGACAATTGCAGCTCAACTCTTGTTTTACTGTGTTATTATGCGTTGATGGTTTGTACACTAGAAAGAAAGAATTTACAAAGATATCAGCGATATTTTAAAATACCGCATTTATGTGGCTCTTAATGCGCTTGTATCTACACAGAACTTTCGAGGCGTGGGTGAAGAACGAACAGCGCCCAGCCTCTGGCAGTCTGGTGCAACTCATCACAAAAGACAACGTCACGCAACTCAAGATCGAATGAAAAACTGTTGCATGATCAGATGCTTTTCATCATCGCTTTTTCCGCTCGGCAAATTTTTTAGTTCAATTGTCAATGAGTTACGCAATAAAACGCTCATTCTATGACTGGCTTTAGGCCCCAGTTTGATTACAGATATAAATTTTATATTAAATGCAATATGACAGTTGCTTCTTTAGTGCGGCACCAAACGCAAATCATAATTTAGACGTTTCATTTGTTCTGATACATACAAGAAACTTTGCATCACAAAGTTGCGATGCTTTTTATGTTCAGTATTACTTTGCTCAATGTGTTAAATTGGTTTTTACGTTGTATAAATTGCTATTAGTTTCACGTGTGTGACCTAAGTGCCATAATGTTCACTTTCAAGTACGAGTGTAGGTTTATACTTGTGTACGTACTCTTATTATTACTCATGTGTAGTAATTCAATTTACCGTTTCTTTATAGTTTTATCTTATATGCTCTCTAGCGTTCAAATAACTTTTTGTGAGACATATATTTGTTTTAAATATCAAATCGGAACAGAGTCTCATCGATACTTCTTATTTGTTATCTTGCTATGGACTTACTCAGCGCCATGTCTTGAAACACGTTAGTTATAAGGTTGGTTATAGTGAACATTAAGCCTTCACGATTAATATCTACGCTAGGAACTGGACTCGTACTAGATGAAGGGCATAAACATGAAATTACGGTATATCCTATATGATTAATGTAATACTCTCACATTTAATTAGGCATTTTATTGTTTTTCAACAGTTGAGCAGTTTCAGTTTATTAATGTTTATGATTCATTAATCGTAATCAAGCTAACTGTAAACGCATGTGGCATTATGTTTAAATATTAAATCGTTTATTCATTATAGCTACTGATACGCGAATTAAAGGTAATTTTTTATTAGGAAACCGAATTTTCAAAGTTCTAGAAAAATTTATAGCATGGTTGTGATGTTGTGCCAATACATTCCTTGCTTGGTCTCTGCATGGAAAACATATTTTCTTGACCCATATAATGAAAAAAACTGATTAACTTTCCTTAGTATGCCTTTGGTTAGTGCAAACTATTGCACATTACTTCATAAATTAAAACCAGTCTCCAACACAACTGAAGCTTACCCGGCGAGGCACATTCGGAGAGCTGTGGTGGTGCAGTGGTGAGAGACTCTGCATCTCGCACCCAGCTCCCGGGTTCGAGTCCCACTGAGTAGAAGTTATTCCGGGAAGCTCAGCCATTCATTCAACTCTGGTTGATAAATGAGTACCTGGCTTGTCCGGGGTGTTGTGTAATGCAAAAAATGGTTTTGGCGGGTCACCGAGCCGGTGATGGTTGTAGAACTACCAGTGGCACCAAGTGCCCGGAAAAACTGACCTATCACCCCCCTACCCTCCCTAGTCGCCACTACCAGGATGGGCAATTACAACAATAGGCACATTCGGACGAAAAGTAAGACGAGGCGTTCATCTATAACTGCGTAAATGCACGAGGCATGTCGTCACGACTTCAATTACAATACGACGCGTTTTTTTCCCCGAGTGGACAATGAGGGTGAATTTGTCCTTATTACGACCTGAGTAACCAATTTCGTTGAGATAAATTAATTTGAAGAAAAAATTTCCTCTTTTGCATGACGAAAACAACTGCAAAGAAATGATGTTTACGCTAATCATTACTCTTTGAGATAACATAATCATTGGTCAGAATAAGGAGAACTAGAAACCATCGAGAATATAACCCACGTTTTATAAAGATACTAAGATTAAATTTTGCATAAATTAAATTAGCATGTCGTGCATGATCATTCTTCCGACAAATTCAACGCTCAGACAAACTTTCGGGACAGAAAGAAAAAGTTAGAATTTTTGACGAATTGCCGTCAAGTGAATCAGTTTTCAATACGAGCGCGAATTGCACAAGATGCTGTATCACATTCGATTACCGCAGTAATAAGGAATTACTGCGGAATTGACAGATTTCGAATTAAATTGGTTTTGCCTACGACGAAATCCAAGAAGTGCGACGCGAACGAGTGAAGTCTGTTAATTTAAGCGGTCAGCAGCAGCCTGCTGCCAAACTTGAGCTCCTATGCAAATGTGAGCGAACCAACGCGTGCACAACAAAGCATATACGAGGCGCTGATGTTCAAAATCAGCGCCCGTGTCTCCTTACCGCACTTTGCTAAGCCTCATCAAGATATTGTAGTTAAAAGTGATAAGTAATGAGCAGTCTCAACAACGACTTAGCGACATGAAAGACTCTAATAATGGAAAGTTCATTTTTTATTAAATTGTACTTGAAAGTATTATTAAAATTGTACTTGAACGTATTATTAAAATTGTACTTGAACGTATTATTAAAATTGTACTTAAAAGAATTATTAAAATGGTAAAGAATTATCAAAATGGTAGGAGACGGAAAATGATAATTGTACGAAGTCATTTACATGTTTTACTAATCACAATTCAACAGATAGGCATGATACTGTAAATAGATGCACGACAAGCAAAACATCAATTACCAAAAATCCCCCCAAAAAAGATATCAAATACTGTCAATCTTCCCTGTCTAAAGCAACAAGAGTCATATAAATGTATCTTTCAATTCAACAATAACAAGTATTCTTCCGTTAACATGAAGTAATTAATTGGACATTAATTATTATAGACATAAAAGAAGCAGGTCATTTTTTGAACTAAGATTTACCAATGAAATCAATGTTTACATAGGCATGTTCATCGAGATCGTAATGGGTGCTGTAAGGCCATTTAGTTAGAGTTTCACTTTTAATGCCATCACGCTGCACTAAATTTTGATTCATTAAAACCGAACTAGGACTAGGATGGAATACAGCATTATGAAAGCTTTTTAGGACATTGCTATTCTCATTTCTAGAATCTACGTAATGACTTGATTCCTGATCTATAGAGTTCATGTTCTCTGAGTTTTTACTTTCGCATCTTGTAATAATTTGTTGATATTTTTGAATGTGATCGGCCTTTTCATCACTTAAGTGTCGGTCTTTCACATCAGTGTGAGGAGGCAAACTGAGTCCGTCCTGTAGCCCTGTTCTGCGACTGTAGCTGAGCCGAGTCCCGACCTCATATGTGGGAAGGTTGACGTTGACGTAGTGGTGTGAAGGGAAGGTTCTCTTCATACCAAGTCCGGAAGAAACGGACGACGGAATATGAGATATTGATGCTGCATTCAAGTGAGAGTTTGAGGAACTATCGGGAATTGGAATGCAATTGCTCACGTCGCCTTCTGCCAGGTACGTCTTAGTCTTATCCATATTGCTGATGAAATTTGGAGAAACATTGTGAGGTAATGGTGGCACAATAGACTGCTGGCTCATTGTCGGAATTTTTTCAGAGTAGAAACTACTAGTCACTTTCTGTTGGGCTTCAATTATAGATTGGTTTTGCGATACATTAGAGGTATTTCGAGGTATATCCTCCAGTATCAAATTGATTGCTGGAGATACAGACAGCATAGCGGCAGTATGCTTGTTAGGTAGAATCTTCGGAACGTTGGAGTTGAATTTTGAGGCTTCTGTCTTGTATAAATTTTGAATGAGTGAAGGACGCTGCGGTACTCGAACAGCGGCACCTGCAGACTGCTCCCAATCATCTTTGTACACCTGCTCAAAGCACATACATGGAAAACCTTCGTATTTTCCAGCACTCAAATCATTCGAAAACATTACCTGATTTTGTAGCCAAACAAAAGAAGGTAATGAGACTGGTCTGAGTAAATTTATGTTTTATAAATGCAAATAGAAGTATTTATACTGATTATCAACATATATCTTAAAAACAAGTTGGCCTCAATCTGTGTAATTGCAGCAAAATCTTTTTTCTGTAAAATATAACGAGTTACACAAAACACAAATTAGAATTTTTACTGAAAATGAGCACAATTTATTTTTTAATGAATATTTTCCAAAAACTTGCACTGAGATAAAGTGAGCACTTCATAAAAAATAGAAATGACAAGATAAAATAGAAACATTTTCTTTAACAAGTAAAATTCTCAGTGGGACCAGATTTTCCAGTGTATCGACCATTTACTACGCAGTAAAAATTAAAATCGATTGCATTTATTGATTTCCGCAATAAATGTGTGAATAGTAAGCCGTAATTCTCACCTGTATAGTGAGGTGAGCTACGCAATGTTGTAAACATTCCTTCAGTTGCCTCACGACTGTCGCAGGGTCAGCATCGCGCTGTAGCCGCACCAGCACGCTGCACACCAGCGCCTCGGTGTGTGAACTGCACAACGTTACAGAGATGCAGTTATCATTTCCAAACTTACGATAAAAAATATAACTCAGTACTCACTGCAGTGAGCGACAGAGAGCGCATTTTCTCGTTGACGAAAACGTGAAGTCACAGACGGACAGACAGACGGACATGGCTAGCATAATAGCGCCTTCTTTCATAAATGAGAAAATGCGCTAGAAATGAACACAAAAATTTCAGAGGGATCATAAATTGGCATGCCGAGAGTCGAGCATCCACACCAAATACCGGTACTCAAGCTTCAGCTATAAAAGAATTCTAACCCACCTGGCAGTGAAGAACATGTGACGTGGTCTAATGAAACGAACGGGCTAACCTCTTCTCGTTGTGGGGTCTTAGTGCAGGAAGGGATATCACCCGCTGCCAAAGTGAGGTCTGAAACAGTGGGGGACTTGCCTCACGCCATGGGGTTTGAAAGAGTGAGGGACTTACCTCCCGCCATGGGGTCTGAAACAGTGGGGGACTTACCTCCCACCATGGGGTCTGAAACAGTGGGGGACTTACCTCCCGCCATGGGGTCTGAAACAGTGGGGACTTACCTCCCGCCATGGGGTCTGAAACAGTGGGGGACTTACCTCCCACCATGGGGTCTGAAACAGTGGGGACTTACCTCCCGCCATGGGGTCTGAAACAGTGGGCGACTTACCTCCCGCCATGGGGTCTGAAACAGTGGGGACTTACCTCCCGCCATGGGGTTTGAAAGAGTGAGGGACTTACCTCCCGCCATGGGGTCTGAAACAGTGGGGGACTTACCTCCCGCCATGGGGTCTGAAACAGTGGGGGGTGAGGGACCAGGCGTTGGTATGTCGCAGCTCCAGGACCCCGTCGATGGTGGAGGCTCTGTGCAGCGCCCTCTGTAAAACGCTGTTGCTCGGCACTGACACAGCCTGTGCAGGGATTATATATTACTGCCATAGATATAGATAATAGTCAAGTTTATGCATTTATTTATTAAAAAATTGAAGCATTGTATAAGCAATTGAGGTTATCATATGATGCTCTGTAACGATTATAACAAGTGATCATCTATTGATAATGTATGTATTAACAAATAAACGTTCTTTAAAATGATTAAAGATGAAGCAAAATGGAAGAAAATTATTTATAAATGAGATATCCACCTGCATTAGAACACGTGTTGTGAGCAGGAAAGGTTGCCAGAGGTATGATGCAGCCAGTCCTAGGATGCACATAGCAGTCACTGAGTCAAGTAAAAGTACAAATGTACTTGTGCTGATCTCACCAAACAAGCTGTGGAAGATCAGACTGATCAGAGACAATCTTATACTTTGAAGAAATTAACCCAGTCCTGAGTCAAATAAACAATTCAACTTTCTCTCACAACATTTCTCAGAGCAACAAATAATTGATGTAGCAAGACAATTTCTCATTTAATGATTTTGAGAGGAGCTCAGAAGCTTTTCTAAAATTTTGATGATGTGAATAAATTAGGGAATTTTTATATTGACACAAAAATACCAATTACATTAATTGTACCTGGCTATGAAGGAGAGGGTAACACTGTGAGAAACAAGCATCAGCCAACTAGTAAACACTAGCAGGAGAACAGGACAGAGTTGATCTTTAAGAAACTTGTAAGCATGGGAGCCCAGAATCGATCTGAAAAAAAAAAATTAGTATAGTCAACCAGAGTGGGATAGGCCAGCTTCAAATCACTTAGATCAGAATATGGGTGACAAATATTATATTTCAGGTAACTTGGGTTTTTGGAAAAGCTTTGACCAGGATTTTGGTGAATTTAGCCAATAATAAACAGTCTGAAAATTAAGTCATGGGCAGTTTCCAAAGTCACCCTAGTTGAAAGTCTTTGAAATAATAGTCCTAGTAATATATTATCAGAGTAGATTTGCTCATGTAACAAAATATATCTCACTAATATTTAATGGAAGAATGAGGCAAATATGCATATAGAAATCCACAAAAATTTCAATTCAGTATCAAAGAGTTACAAACAGAAATAAATTTATAAACACAATCACTTAACAAATTTAAAAATAATGATACTACCTAGGTCTCCAGGCTTTTGGCAAATGTTTCTTGGACATTATTGAAAAAGAAGTGAGAAAAGGATGAGAAGCTGCAGTTGAAGCAGCTCTTATGACGCAGTCAATAGGAGACACAGGCATAGTGCCAGAGATGACAGCCGTCAGCACCAACACCTCCAAGCCAAGCAGCAGGGCATTACCAGCAGAACTGCCAACAAATGATACTGAATATTTATGATGGAGAAACTCCTAGGATCATAAGAAATGATTATACAACTAATGAATTGAATAAAATATTCAATTGATTAGATTAGATTTTTAGTATCATATAAACATGAATACAATAATTCAAATTACCAACTCAAGCAGATTTAAAATAATTGAACCAACATTAACATTGATTACATGTGCCACATAAAAACATGGAAAACAATGCCTCATAAAAACATGGGAAAACATGCCACATAAAAACATGGTATTTTGGACTCTCCCATGAATCAATTCACAGCAATTATTTAATGAGGTTTAATCAAGTTGTAACTTGCTTTACCATCAAATTCTACTGAAAAAAGCATAAAATCAAATAACTCAATACTAACCTGCAAGATCTAAGAACATCACCACTCTTAATAAGAAGAAACACTAGGATAACCCTCAGAGTGCAGCAGGTAACCAGAGCCATCAACACTAGACTGCTGAACACAACCATCACCTAGGAATTAGGCACAATACATGTATGAATCAAGATATTAGCATAGGTTGGCAAATTTTGTTACTTCAAGCAGGTTTCATTGAAGACCAGAGATTTTGTTTTGTTTGTTTGTTTTATTTATAATTAGCTTGTTTTATTGACACACAAATTCTCTAGTCTTCCATGAAACACAAGTTTGATTTTTACACAAATAGCATTATCAACATTAAAAAAATTTGAAAAATATTTAATTGCATTAGAAGGTATTTGAATGTTTTGGATAGATAGACAATGCTTGATTGCTAGTCTTCATTTGATACTGTTCCACATAAGAATGGAATACTCACTCTTACTCTGATGAGTCCATAGCTATAATTGCTGCTAGGAGTAAATGAGTCAGACCACAGCCCAATCAGATGACTCACAATGCGAAGTAGGTTGAATAAACAGAGGTTGTTGAATGACAATAAGGCTGGGGAAAAAATGAAAACATGTTTAGGAATATGGCTTATAAATTAATTTAATTACTTGTGAATCCATTTCAATCCATTTTTATACAATACTTCCTAACCGTTGTAATTAGTAACTCATTTTAGTGGGGAAGAGTGGTTCAATTATTATGCTTGAAAATATCTGCAAAGCGTGGATTGAGATTCTTTTAACTATAGCCATGATATTGTAAAACTTTTTCAAGTGTTTTCACAGATCTTATCAATCCATTTTGCATCTTCACTGGAAGCCACTGTGCAGAGAGTGGATGAATATTGCAAGATCTTTGGTGACGCTTCAGTAGCCAAATTTTCGCCTTCAGAAGATCTTGCCGACACATTTAGATTGAAATTCTTGCATTTAATATATTTTTCAGTCTTCGACCAACTATTTAGAAAAAAAGTAAGGTTTCCGGTGCGTTGGATGGAATACGATGCAGCGACGGCGACGCATCTTTAAAATGGCCGGCGACGCTTTGGGCTTAAAAATCCATATATTGGCAACGCTGCATCCACCCTCTGCATAGTGGACTGGAAGAAAGGTGTCATTTGATGAGGTTCAAAACAAATTGAACAGTTTTCAATCTATCTTAACTTATGTAAGAAATAATTTCAGCCATCAAAAAATAATTGCACAATGCTTGGAAATTATTTTTGTGCAAAAATTATAAAAAATATCAGTTATATTACTTATTAGGGTAAACGCGGTATATTCCGACATCGTAGGTAATTCCGTCACTTCTCTAGTTTTTCCTTTATATTAAGCTTTGTTTTAGTTCCATGCGTTCATTGATGGTTGAAATGGTGACGTCATACATTTGCGTGTCGAAATACTGCAAAAACACTAGGTCTTGGCCATCTAGCAGGAAAATATTGAGATCCAAAGAGAGACAATGCATGCCACGTGGTGAGATCATCGAAAAATGTGTCAAATTTGACAGTTGACATGGCTCTACCAAATAGTAAACAACTGTTTTTATAGGAAGAATATTATGGTTTGAGACTTTTAAATACGTCTGTGAATATATTAGGAATCCTTTAAGTATACTTGAATTTGCTGATTTCAAGTTGTAAATAAATTAATAGATGATCAAGTTGAGATGGTGGATTTCGACACATGAAAACTAATTCCGACACAACTTGAATTGGACACACACAGATTGTTCAAAGCTTTGTACAAAAATTGAAATTTGCTTAATTAAAAGCCTAATAGCTGTTAATTAAAACGTAATTAAGTAGTTCAATATTCGTTAGTGTTCTAATTCAAAGCCGTGTTGTATCCCAATACAGCTCACACAGCAAACGGAATTCAAACATGTGGATGTCGGCAATACATATCAGTTAAATTTGAAGCGCTGACGCAATACGACTCACCACGTGTCGGATGTTGCCACACAAAGTGACGGAATATAGGGATTTGGTAGGTTTCCATTCTAAAGGCTTTTTAATAAATATGGCAACATTTTGTGACGTTTCATCGTTGCTGACGCGTAGTGAAGTGTTTTGAGAGTCATGTGAAGGCAACAGAACTTACGTAATGCATACGGTTTTTTTTATAGTTTTTCATTTCTCGATGTGCCCTTAAAGTGTCGGAATATACCGCGTTTACCCTAATGATGTCAGACTTGTCAGTATAGCTAAATAGGCAATTAGGCATAGGATCTGTCACTCTCTGGTGTCTCAAATTAGGTAACACACAGTCTGTAAAAAAAATTTATTGAGGTTTTATACTTTGAAGACATGTTATTTAGAGAGAAAACTATTGAGAATATATAACATACATTTTAATTATTCGAAAAAACTGCTCCGTCAAATACAAAAAGGTCCAAGATCAATTTATTTTTTATACACTCACCAAGGCATGTTGAATGTTCTGATATGAAACTCTGATAGGCAGACAGAAAAAATGAAACCAGAAGAAGTATCGAATGAAACCAGTTCTTTAAAAGCAATTGGACTAGGTCATTCCAAAAAGATGTCATTATTACGAGTTTTGCCTTTTCTTTTAGTACAATTTTTTCGACATTTCATCGGACCACAGTGCTGCAGTATTTACGTCAAAAAAAATCGGACACAGCAGGTTTCCGTTCGGAAGGAAAGCAGGATTTCGTTGGTGAATGCATTCGTTACAATTTTCAGCAATTCTTGATACGAATTTAGTGCGCAAAGGAACTTTCAATGAGTGTCGTGATTTAAATGTTCAATATCAAATTGTTCACGCTCTACGAAATTGCAAAGCGTCGTTGCGAACATCGGAAAATACTGCAGTAGATAATGAGTGCAAACCGTCATCTGTATCATAACATAACATAACATAATGATGTCGGCGCTGAAATGTAGGCCTGATGTGGCCTGTCGCCGATTCTTTATTGGTGATGTTCTGGATTAAAAATGAGTCTCGTACATACTCCAAGAACAGGGATGCTGGGTGATTCTCATCTCTTGGAGAAGATTCATCTGCCCAGTCTATTTCTGTATGGTTAAAGTCACCAACGATCAACGTATGCGACCTGCTGAATGACATGCTTGGTAAAAGGCTGTTTAGTACTTTTATTGTTATCAGAGGAGCTGTTAGGTGATCTGTAAATGACCCCTATGAGAAGGCTATCTTTGCCTTTTAGAGTAAGTTCACACCACACTGATTCTCTAGCTGATTGATGCTCTGCAGATAACTTAACTTGTTGGGCCCCATAAGAGGTTCTAACCCACAGAGCTACACCTCTACTGCACTGCTCTTCATTCAAGTTATGAAAACAATCAAAACCTGGCAGCTGAAATTCAACAGGTACAATTTCCCCCCCGTGATTTTTACGAAGTGTTTCTGTAAAACAAATAATGTCTATACACTCGTTTGCGATCACGGTTAACAGTTCACTTTTTTTGTTCAAAACGGAATCCGAGTTCGTGTAAAAACATTTTAAAACTTTTTGTGCACTTTCACTTTGATGTATGCGGTTACTCCCTACATTATTTACAGGCCTTAATCTACGGACATCATTCCTACTAATTACTTGTCCTCCATCTCCTCTGACTGTCCTTGAGCAGCCGGTGTTGTCTTGGCAGCTTGGAAGTGATTCTTTTATCACTTCCCATATCATGGGCGATTATCTGCAACATTTGCTAAAATGACAGATTTTTAAAGAACACGTTTTCAACCTATCAATTTTTCTGCCATGGATATATGTTAGGCGTACTAAATTGAGGTCTCGGACAAATTTACGGCCGGACCCGCGGCCAGAAAGGTTTCCTTAGTGTTTTTATGGGTTTCTCTAGTTTTTTTGTGTTTTTAATGGAACGTGTTCCTAACCTGCGAGGTTTTCGTTAATTGACTAGTTTTTATCTATTTTTGTAGTCCGGCGGCCGCGAGACCGGCCGCGGGTCCGGCCGTAAATTTGTCCGAGACGTACTAAATTGTTATAATCTTTTGAATTTGGCATTTAAGTTGGAAAACGTGTTCGATGTGCCTTCCGCTTGTGTTTTGCATTGCATTGAAGTCTAGTGGATAAATTAATCTCAAGCTCATTCGATCATTACAAATTTCATACAAATGGCTTTTTTATTGTATTCAAATATCACCAAAAGTCCGTAGTAATCTGTACATTTGGCAAATGAAATAAAATATCATAATGGGCTACCGATAGTTTTGGTCATGGTTGAATTGTTTTGGTTACCCTTTTACGCAGCACGTACCCAGAACACACGTACATCTGAGCCCCGTTTGAACGATGCTAAAAAGCTGTTTATGCCTGGTAATACAAATCAGATGTATGCTGTTTACTTGCATGCTTGTTTGGCATAAATAACCATGATAATTGTTAGCGCCGTAATTCTTCGAAATTTTTGTCAATAGTCATCGTAAGATGATGAATTGTAAGATGATCAATATAAATACAGAAAATATAACTCAGCACTCACTGCAGTGAGTGACAGACACATTTGTCACTCACTGCAGTGAGTGACAGACACACATGCACAGTGACAGGCGCATTTTCTCGTTGACGAAAACGTGAAGTCACGGACGGACAGACAGACGGACGGACGAGCACAATAGCGCCTTTTTTCGTAAATAAGAAAAATGCGCTAATAATCAATAGAAATAAGGTGCAGCCACGTGCATAAACATTCCCCTGCTTACAGCAACAGACAACTTGTCCCAGGTCCAACGCCCCTACCAAAGCTGTGTTTGGCGATATAACGGACAGCTTAACGTTATTTATCTTCAAGTGTCCGTAAAGTAAAAAAACAAAATTTTGTACGATGCACATGAAACTGAAAAATTCTACATCGTATATTTATTTTCTAGATAAATTTTGAGATTTTTAAACACATTAATCCTGTTCACAACCAAACTTGAGCCATGCAAGACACGAAATAAATAGTCGCAGCAGTATAAAACTTTTAAAAATATGTTTTTTCAATCTTTATTGGCCATGAATCATGTATCATCACATCAATCATGAAGAGATGAACTAAAATGTATGATGTCAAGCATTCACTTAATTTGTTTAACTAACTTGATACTGGAAGTAAGAACTATTGAAATTTCTCTTGAATGCCAAAAAACGGTTATTACTTATTAGTTATATAAAACGGCAAGATTTCTTTCGCCGCTGTTTAACTTATCTATGTAATGTGTCCTGGATGTACTGATTGTTGCGCGAAGGAACAGTAAGCTTATTGTTATTATTAGTTTATTGGAAGCAATTCATGAACATTTTTAGGGACTAAACCAACTGAGCGCAATACAACAACCTTCACATAAACTCCTCATTGCCAAGTTTCTTTTACTTGTAAAGGAATTGACCGCATCTCGTAAGCACGAAAGAAAAATTTCCATGCTATAACTAAGAAATTTTTTAAACTCTAATATGCTGCAGTGACTTGAGTATACTATTATACACTAGTATATATGGGATAATTTAGACTGTCTGAAAGATAATAGGTACGCACTCTGTCAGTTTGTACCGGTCTGCGGGTCCGGCACAAAATAGTTACATAAAATCCTGACGCATTAGGAAGGATAAGGTGCAAACAATGTCAAAAACCCTGCAAAATTAGCAAAATTCCGCAGCTAGAGATATTACAAGAATATGAATACTACTCACTCATTTCCAAGAAATTCCACTCAAAGTTATATATTATTTAAGGTTAAAACATCAGAAACCTGTGGTGAAAACATATAAAATAAGACACAGGCAATGTTTACCGTTGTGGGTTCTATCTCTACAAATTAACATACAACATTAATAATTATAAACAATAATTGATCGAAAACATACAACCGTTGAACGTCAGTTTAGTAATGTAACGTAAATATTATGAGAAAAATTCTTTTCAAATTAATGGTAATTTACTCCAATTAACTTAATGTTCTATTCAGTAATGGTAAAAATTGCTCATGTATTATAATGAGCAGCGGAATTAATATGAAATAAATCCGGAAATGGAAGAATATTCAGATTAATTTGGATGTTCTTCCTAGTAGCGAAAATATGTCAAATCTTACAGAAAAAAATAAATGTTCAGGATCATGAATTTTCATAAATGCTGTTACTTGTCTTCTCTAACTCAGCGTTATAATAAGCCGCTCCATCTGCCGGACGGACCCAAGATCCGGGAACCTCTTTCGCGTTCCGTGTTTTGGGCGCCTCCTCGGCAGCTTGTTCTTGCCCAATGGCGGTGCTAGGGCACTGAATGTCTCGGACGTACAGGCTGTTGATGCTCTCACGTCTGCCGTCAGGGAGTATCCCGTACAAGGAGTTGACGCTCGTACGGTGGGTTATGGCCAGCGTGGGAGGGACGGTGGCTTCAGCTGAAACATTTAAATAATAATAATAGCGATTTCAGCGTTTATTAGGCCGTATGCCTGTCGCCGATTCTTAACATCGCAGAACATTCACAGCATTTTGAGGTCTCGAACTCTCAACTCACTGCTACAATTCTGCTGTGCTTAACCGCCCGGCCTCCTTGCCGATTCTGACCAGAAACTGGGGCACAGAGCTGGGATCGAACCCGCGCCTCTCTAGTGCGTCAATCTTGGTACTCTGAACTTTAACCACTGGGCCATCCTGCCCAGTGGTTAAATTTGGAATGATTTAAGCCGGGATATAATGATCAAGGCGGAACTTGAAAACTTCGACTATTGAAGGTACAGGCAAGCTTATACTATAGCACTTACTTTCGCGCTATTGAGCAAGAGTTTTGGTGCTATCACTAAATTCGTTACGCGAGTATATACGGGTTCCATTTTAATTTTTCTTCATCCTTCTAATTGGTATAGCAACGAATAGTTGTACGTATTTTGAACTCACATTCTTATCATTCCCTGCCGATCATCAGGCAGAATAAAGAAAATAAATTATCTGCCCTACTTGAGGTCAGATTTTATACTCACGTTTCTTCTTCCTCGCGAGCACAGCAAGAACGACGATGGCGACGAGCGGTACCAGCAGCAGCAGCCACAAGAACTGCAGGGAATGCGATGATGAGGCCTGCGTGTCCGTTCGAGTCACGTCGGTGCCTTCCGTCATGTTGGGACCTGTAAACTGATTGTGTTAGTTACTGTCGAATGTTTGTTGCAATCACGGTTGTAGGGAAAGTTTATTTGCCTTAGTTTTCATGTATGTGTTCTTAATCAAGTATTAAAAATCATCCATTTATATTTCTCTAGACTATAAGAATATGACACATGAGTGACTGATTAATTGGCGAAGCAAAACATTGCTAGTCTAATGTGAAACTGTAAATGATCTTCCTATTCTATTATCACGGCTGTTCGGGCATGGTCTGTATTAATAATGACTCCTGTAATTTCGGAAAATGTAAAATAGGCAAATATTTGTACTTATTTACGAGGGTCTGGGAAAAATTTGCCATATTGCTCGCAGATATATAGCTCGGTATGAAAATAGAGTTCCAACATGATTTTATTACATAAATAATTACTTCAAAATACTGCAAGCAAGTAAAAACTTGACATTTTTACTTACAGGTAATGATAAGTTAATCTCTTTTCAATCAATTTCAATTGAAAAATAATTTATAGAAATCGGCGAGTCTCCATATGCGCGAATTTGACGAGTACAGTTTTACTGACATATGTGTGTATGTGAATAAAATGAACTTGAGCTTTCTCAATTCACCCATTAAGACGAGTCATTCGAGTAAGCTAGGTTGCAATTATAAAAGTGTTATTTTCGAAAGTGGTACCGGTATTGAAAATAATATTTTGCATTTTCAGAATTAACTAAATGATGAACTGCGACTAGTTGGAAGATTTATGAAAGCACAATTATGGGTTGTATATGGAGCTTCGACAAAATAAACGAATTATTTATTGGAAGGAAAATAAGAGGAAAAGCCTCCAAGGACGGTAGTAAGAAAGGTAAGAAATCTGATGGATTTTTCATTAAAATTCTGAATTGATCTAAAGATGAGAAGAAAATAAGATATGAAAAAGATTTGAATAAGTAATAACAGCTATTCACAATATATAAACTATAAATGATCTATGCGACATAGTTCCGTCTTAGACGCCGACTAAACAGTCACAGAACAGGGCAGACATTCCAGGTTCTGGCAGTTGCAACCAGGAACGCTTTGTAGCCGACAGTGAACATAAGTGTAGATGGTAATGGCACGAAGAGCTGGTAGATGGTATAATGAGGTCCATTATTGACGACGAGCTCAGTCGCCTTTTCAAAGGTAAATCTAATGCGCGATGCAAACCTTTCGCGAGCTAAGGAGGTGTCAGATTATGAAGGCAACGGAACGCCAGAACAGCGACTTTAAACTGCCTGCGCTGCTGCATGCGCAGCCAGTGAAGATCTCGTAAAATCATGCGACGCTACGAATTCATCGCACTGCGCTAAAGCAAACGGTGGTGACTTTGGCAATGTGATTGTTCATAGAATGTTCTGAGTCCAGCTTATTGCCGAGGTTACGGACCGAAGACCAGAGGTGGGCAGTAGCGCGCTACATGTAGCGGCCGCTACATTTTCAGTAGCGGTAGCGACGCTACATTTAAGGCAATGTACATATTTACGTAACGATACGTGGTTTTGCCGCTACAGCGCTACTGCTACATTTGCAGATAAAGCCTTTACATTTTACTTAATAGTATTAAATATTACTTAAAAACCAGCACGATACATACATAATATAAATTACAGAATAAAACTGTACAAAAGATTCCGGTGTAATGTTGTCAACCTCAGCCTGTTACTAGTTTCAACATGTTAGTTGTTACTTGTTAAGTTGTTACCAGTTACCACTTATAGGTATTTTTTCATGTTTCAGTTTGCTTACAGTTATTTTTATGTTCCACCTTTCCTACATGGATGTCTACTTTAATCTACCAATTTAAAAAATAATCCACATATATATACAAATAAAAGACTGATTTTTATATGTATATGTGGATAAATTTTTATATTGGTAGATTCAAGTACACATCCACGTAGGGAAGGTAAAACATAAAAATAACTGTAACTTTCATTTACTGTATCTAACCCGTACTAGTTCGGTTAGGTTAATTGCAATAAAGTTGCATTGATATGTTTTGAGAATGTTTTATTATCATTAAATGTTTATGAGTAAATCCCAATAGCAGAACAATAAATATTTAGAGATTTCCAATAATTTTGGTCATTGTAGCGGCTAATGTAGCGGCGCTACATTTTACTGTAGCGGTAGCGGTAGCGCTCGCTACAATCTAGTGGGTGTAGCGGTAGCGGTAGCGCCCGCTACATTAAGAGCATGTAGCGGTAGCGGTACGCCGCTACATTTCAAAGTAGCGCTGCCCAGCTCTGCTGATGACGCAGGCGTGACGAACTTATTGCCCACGCCATCAGGGTTGGTCTCAAGCTGATGCTGGCGTCGAGCCGTCGAAACCAAAATAAAGTCGGTATTCGATGCATTCAGTTGGAGACGGTAGGAATGCATCTCAGACGTCTCCAGTCTGAGACGGCGTCCATGCAGACAGTTATCCGGTCTTGTAACGCTGCATCGTGTCCAGGCGCACACTAACCATAAATTTGGATGTCGTTAGCGCAATTAAGCGGACTCACACCGTGTGAATCAATTATGTGCATCACGTCGATAGTACATAACAGAAAGAGGATCGACCTCGGTGCGGCACCAGACCAGATGACCAACGATGGCGTAGAAGAAAAGTACCCTCAGAAATTCATATTTATAGGACTGATGAGGGGCTCGCCAAATGGTCGAAATTGCATACGTAGGACTGTTTCTCAATTGCATTTTTACGAGTAGGCCGCTTTGCTCCTGATGCGTCAAGCTCATTTTTCGTGTCTTATCGTGCAAACTTCCATTTAAAATACCGCACACATTGGTGTGCAAATAAATGTTTGAAATTCAATTTCGTTTGCGCTATTAATCAGCCCTGGAGAGAGGTATATTACTTGTTCCAGAAGAAATCCTATACAGAAGAAATCACATCCGACAAAATTGGTGGACTTAACTGAGTGAACAGCCCATTCAACATGACATTAAATTGATTAATCACTTTATTTGCATTCTATTAGCGAAGTACTTTTTTTCGTTTTACTCGATAAATATTTTTTACGCGCAAATTTTTGATACAGTACGAAGGTATTTAGCAACTTCTTACTGGCTGTCGGTGAGAAATTTGAATTTTTACATTTCAATCTGACAGAAATACGCATTTTTCGCTCAAATTAGGCTTAAAGACAAAAACATATTTTTGAATTCATGAACTAGAAGCATTATTCGTTAAAATCGAATATTGAATATTGCAGATGACGATATGAAAAGCTAATAATTTTGTTATCGCACCTGATCGAGAGGTTTGCTTAGTACCATTTGCCTGCTCGGTTGTTGGCTGGGCTGGAGTCGATGTCGTCTCGCCGCTGCCACAGTCCCGGAGCTCCGGGCCAGCGTGCCACTGAACATCACCGCTCAGGGTGATGTTTATCTCATGTACATCGTATTGATACCACCACCTCCATTCGCGTTTTCTAGCACCTTCGCTGCTATTGACTCGTAGGATGTGCGTGTAACTCCCCTCATATTCAACTTTTACTGAGATTCTCCTCCATTCGTTGTTTGAAGTAATGTTGAGATCTGCCGATGAAATTTCGAATTTTCTATCGAAAGTTGACCACCATCGATAGAAAATCGTGACGATACTGATATTGAATGGAAGTGCGGTTGCTTTAAAATTAAAACCACATTCTGTAATTTTGTGGCACTCAATGGTTTTAGAAGCGTTAAAAGTATTTTCCGGAGGAAAACAAGACGTTTGTCGTTTCCTTCTTTTGGGGCGACGAAAATGTTTTCCAGAAGAATCATGAGGTGGCCAAGTGAACGCTCTGCTGGCCGGTGCAAGTGGGCCTTGTGATTTACGTTCATGCTCGAGATTTTCATTCTCTGTACCTGTAGGACTTTTATTTTCAGTCCGAACATGAAGCTCATTTTCCATATGAGCGAATGAGTTAGACGTTTCAAATGAATTCAATTTAGTTATTGTTTGTATTGCCGTCGAGCGAAGTTTGTGGATGATAGGTTCCGAATGTTGCACATCAAACGAACCCGTCGAAGAGGTGTATTGCTGGCCGTTTTTTTCAGCACCCATTGAGGCAATGGAGGTATCAATAACTTTATGTTCATGCATAAACACATCGCTAAAATCCTGCGACGGCGAGCTTGCTTTCACAAGCACTGCAGAACAAACAACGCTGCTTAGTAGGTAGATGAAGATGTTTAATATCCTGTACGAAATCATACTAAATCTGAAATGAAGATGTTTCTACTTCAATAAATATAGAAACTCATAACTTGTTTGTACTTAATTAATTCACTGACTCGCAACCCCAGGCTAAATTTTCTCAGGGGAAAGGTTCTCTTTAGTTCACTAACAATTGTCACAATCCGATAATAATTGACGATTTGATAGCAAGTTAATCGCAAAATGCACAAGGTACTCATATTTATAGGCGTTTCGACAGCTATTCTTATGAGCTCTAAATGCAACCATAACAAAATGATTAACCTGCAACAAATTAGCATCTGAAGATATTTTCTTTTGCAACATGTAACCTTCGGAATCTCACAGCTAACATAGATTTCGTTGACCGAATGACTGTGATTAAAAAAATTGCTGCGAAGGAAGAAGTTTTCAGTCTTATCTTTCCTCAAAAATATTCTTAGGCACACTTCACAACCGTACAGTAAATCAGAATTAGAACCCTATACAATTCCCGGATTCAATTTCATGAATTTTCAGCGAATGAAGCAAGGAGTGGCATTGACCAGCGCAAAGATCTCAAGCAGACAAGCATCAGAAGTTCGGAGCGCCTCACGGATGTCTCATCCTGCAATTCAGATAACACGACATCCGCTCGCACGATATCTCCAAGGCTTGGACGCTGCCAAACGTAAAAAGATGTGTAGCGCTCCACTTCACAAATCCGGCTGAGTATTTTCAAGGTATATGAAGTTTTGGATGCTGTATCTATTTATTTCATGAACAAGTAATTTCATGTCATCTGTTGAAAAAGGCAGTTTTTCGTTCATATCTCCGGTGCATGTTTCATGATCATGTTCCCCCTCAGGGGGGACTTCTGACGGGTGTCTGTGCTCGTCAGAAGTCCTATGGGATTTCGCGTTCCTAGGGGGATTGTTCCTGAGCGCCCCACCGCTGAGCTCGCGGTGTCTGACTGTAGGTCTCAGTTGTGGGGTTAAGTTATTATGTAGGTAGGATTCCTTACATAGATTCTAAAATGCGCAAATCGGAAGTCCCGGAGGTGGAAGCTAACACTCTAAAGTCACTGTTAGAGTGTTCACACTGCTCGGCGTGTGCGCGCACAGCCGAATGAGGTGGGCGCGATAGCAACTGTCCGGTTCTACAACTCCTGCCCTTATGCTCAGAGACCCTGGAATAAAGATTACGTGACGTCATCCCGACGTACGCAGATGCACATCGTGCACAACAATATTGATAAACCAGGGACGATCGCATATGAACAGGGAGCATATCTTTATATCTAAAGAGAGAACCGATTGTGAAATTGTATACCAGCACAATATGGAGATTGACATTTGGGAAGTATCTATTGAACAAGACTTTTAATTCTCTTGACATAGCTTCGGACGCAGGGCCGAAGTATGGAAAAGAACAATAAATAACTTTCCTACTATCGCGCTCAGGAGCAACCTCACTGTATCGCTTCGACATGAATTTCTTGATTTGGGTAAACACCAAACTTGCCGGAAATCCATTAAGCGAGAAAATATTATTGCGTAAAAATTCAAATTTAGCGTGCATAGCATGGTATGTGGAACAAATGCGAAAACCTCTGTGTAATAATGTTTGAAGCCCATTTAACTTGAATCGGAATGAACAAAAACTAAAGAAACTGGTACTTAGGCCGGTGAATGTCGGTTTTCGGAACACAGAAGTCAGAAAACGGCCATTAGATTTGGTAATATTGCAATCGAGGAAGGACAAACTATTGTTAGATTCAAGCTCCATAGTAAATTTGATAGAATTATGTTGCGAGTTTACGTAATCAAAGAATGGTTTGACATGAGAAGGATGTTTGAAAATTAAAAAAGTGTCATCGACGTATCTGTTATAAAATATCGGCTTAAAATCGGGAGGACAATTGGCCAGCCAAGAAACCTCGTGAAAGCACATAAAAATATTTGCGAATGTCGGGCCAAGCGGAAATCCCATGCCTAAACCGTCAATCTGTCTATAAAACTTGCCAGCAAATATGAAAAACGAGTTAAGAACTGATAATTCTAAAAGATGTACATGAATCACATGAATCACATGATGTACATGAATCTAAGGCGTAAAAATGTGATAAAATTATTTAAAAAATTTTAGAAGTGTAGCAGTTACATTTAGCGTTCAATTTATACTGAAAGCAGCTTTCAAGAAGTTTTCACACACAATAGCATTCAATACAATATTGAAGAAAAGAACAAGAAACAATATAGCAAAAGCTTCCAAATGAATGCCCATAAGCTAAAAAAAGCTTTGCAGGCTATAAAGGTGGTCATTTAACCCCATTCAAATCATAATATGATAATTATAAGAACGACGGAAAGTTTCCAGAATAAATACATCCATTACAAGAACCTCAAGAAAACTGATAATAGCATGTCACTAAAAGCATGCATATCTAAGGCAAAAGCAGCATCACACTTGAAAATATGATGTAATTGAAAACCGCATGTCAAATTATTATAATCTTTCGTGATAATCGAAGTCAAATTAATATAATGTAGAAATAAATTCAGGGAATTTAGTCTTTAAAAGGAATTTAGAACAAAGTATTTTGAAATCATCGGGCAATTCATTAAAATATTTTACATAATTAAAAACTGTGCCGTTTTTTCAATTCTAACCAAACCGGATGTAAGTTAAAGTTAAAGCGTAAGTTAAAGCGTAATATGTTTTTTATCTGCGAAAGCAGATAAAAAAAGTAATACTCCAAATTCGAGACTATTTTTAGTTTGTGAGCAGATCCGTCTTCTTGAAAATAAGGATTTATTGAAAGTTAAGATGAAAATTATACAAATAGTTACCATGAGTCATAAGATACCAACCTGAAGGAGATACCAACCAGATAACGATAAATAGAGTGATGTGCAGATAACGATAAATAGAATGATGTGCAGAAAACGACAAATAGATTGATGTGCAGATAACGATAAATAGATTGGTGAGCAGATAACGATAAATAGATTGATGTGCAGATAACGATAAACAGATGGTGAGTAGATAACGATAGAGATTGATGTGCAGATAACGATAAATAGAATGATGTGCAGAAAACGACAAATAGATTGATGTGCAGATAACGATAAATAGATTTGTGAGCAGATAACGATAAATAGAGTGATGTGCAGATAACGATAAATAGATTGGTGTGAAGATTAAGATAAATAGATTGGTGAGCGGATAACGATAAATAGATGGGCGTGCAGATAAAGATAAATAGATGGGCGTGCAGATAACGATAAATAGATTGGTGTGCAGATAACGATAAATAGATTGGTGTGAAGATTAAGATAAATAGATTGGTGAGCGGATAACGATAAATAGATGGGCGTGCAGATAAAGATAAATAGATGGGCGTGCAGATAACGATAAATAGATTGGTGTGCAGATAACGATAAATAGATTGGTGTGCAGATAACGATAAATAAATTGATGTGCAGATAACCATAAATAGATTGGATTGCAGATAACGATAAATAGATTGGTGCGCAGATAACGATAAAATAATAAATAAACCATGTAATGAATTTATTTCTTTTTAAGCAAATAAGAACGATAAAATTAAAATAGTCAATAGTCAAAATAAATTTTTAACTTTGACTATAAAAATCGTTCTTGTGCCAACTGCAAATTTCTTCTCCCAACTTCAGATCACAAACCAGAATTTATTTTCATAATTGAAGAATGATATGAACCTCGTCCATCTCAACTGATCGAAAAATGTACAAATATTAAACGAATCGCAAAGCAACACCGCTTAACCCTGATGTTGAAATAATAGATGGAAGCCGTATGTACATGAGGTCACACGTTTGAATTAATAACGTTTTCTTGTTGTTGATATTGCTTTAATTTCAGAATTTTCAATAAATATTTTTTAATTGTGATTTTCTCGGTGATTGCTCATAAATGAGGGAGTATAAATTGCATCCAAGCTGTAAGGCGAATGTATAGAATTATTTTTATGATAAAACCCACCTGTAGAAGCTGGTGCTACCGCTGTGGTGTGCGTTAGTGTTGCAGTTTCTGTTGACGTTAGCGGTACAGTTTCTGTTTTAGTTGATGTAACAGTGGAAACTTTGGTGCTCGTAGAAGTGATGCGTGTGGTTGATGTCACAGTCACTGGGGAGCTGCAGGATTCTCTAGGCTCAAGGAACCAGTCCACATTTGAGGCATAGAAATATACGACAGAGAACTGGCAACGTGGGTCAAGTTCAAAACGTAATGATGTAGTAACATTTTCAAATTGTTCATCTATTTGCCAGACATTTATAGCCCCGCATCGAACTGAATGAAGATGAATTAGGATAACAGCCCATATACTTTGTTTAAGGAAAATATCCGGATGTTTCAGAATGAATGTTTTCTCTACGGTTTGACCCAAGCACAGAAAACTGGGTACAATATTAATTTGAAATGTTGAGGGGTCATGAGCTCGGACGTACAACTTTATATTGTCGTATGGAACAGGCATCCACTTCTTCAACGGCAAGTAGTTCTTAGAGGGAGGAGAGCAAGGATCGCCTGAGCGCTTGAATCGATTTTCATTATCATCGAATCCTGCAGTCAATGCGGTTGAGTAATTTCCATAGAGACGCGTTTTACTTGGAATTGGAAAATCTAACCCTAAAAAATCTACTGTAAATGACACATTGCTTAGCATACTCTTATTGCTGTAAGTCTGAAAGGAATATCGACTCGATTCTTCTATTGGAACGGACAATGTAATTAAGCTTTCATGTTGATCCAAACTCCCTGCGCGTTGATTGATCATAGAATCTCCTTGTAGCCATTCCAATGACGACGTCACTGAAGTTGTTCCAGTTATGTCTATCATAGACGAGTGAAGAGTAATGTTTTGCTGGAGCCTCCCATGCTTTCCGTTTTGCTTTCTCATTTGCGTGCTTGCCTTACACGTAAATATTGTACACAAGGTAAGCAATTGGATTACCATAAAATAATTTGTAGGCATCCTTATGATTTTATATCTACGAGTTCAATGATTAACAAAAAGTTTAACAAAAATGAATGTTTTCATGGACCTTCTAAGATGATATTTAATCACCTTCACTACGGACGCTAATATTCTTTACCGCCCTGCACTTTCAATGAAACCGCAACTTTTAAAGAAAAAAATTCCTCTTCCAAGGTTCGAATTGCTAACCAGACTTTACATAGGAATTGTAACTCAAATCGGTGGGATCAGTTGAAACTTTTATGAAGGTATTAAAGCACACAAATGCCAGGTTAGATTAGTTTTTTTCAACACAGTTAACTGTACAGATCGTCTTGAACTGAGCAGTTCGTCTGCAAGCGAAACTGCAATCGCTGCATGACGCTGACTGCGATAAGCGTGCGTCCTGTTGCGGTATCCTAGCGAAATATCGTCCAAGGATGGGTTTTAGGCGGCCAGCGTCGTCCGTAAAAGGTTTGCTGAAAAGCAGGCCAAGATTTTAAATGTGAAATACTGCCATTATTAGCTTGATGTATAGGAGAATAAACTTCTTCCACTTCAAACCCAAGTAATACACAGTTTGAAGAGGATGCCGCACTGTAACAGAGGGTGTATGAATATTGGTTGCTAAGATAATGAATCATGGTTGATTCTAATCATATACATTACAGTTGTACAGAAACCGGGAACCTTAAGATATCAAGATAAGATATATCCAACATGTTACACCCGTAGTTCGTTTGTAAATAGCATATATGCCCACGGTGAAGCACCACTCGACGCCCTAACATGCGCTAGTGACATGATATACTAAACTTTACAAGCCTCGAACTTACTTATATAGCGCTTCTCATTACGGTAAATAACACGGCGATACTTAGACTACCACTAGCTTTCATATTGCACCCATGACACGTTGTGTTACGATATCTGACGAAGATATATAGTTTTTAGAAACACGAAAAGCTCCAATATTCGAATTATCAGAGCGTTGTTGAACTATTGTGCACGTCGCTCGTTCAGTATATAATTTATTGCTTGTCTCGTACCTCGCAGGTTGCTGCTTGTCTCGTACCTCGCTGGTTGCTGCTTGTCTCGTACCTCGCAGGTTGCTGCTTGTCTCGTACCTCGCAGGTTGCTGCTTGTCTCGTACCTCGCAGGTTGCTGCTTGTCTCGTACCTCACAGGTTGCTGCTTGTCTCGTACCTCGCTGGTTGCTGCTTGTCTCGTACCTCGCAGGTTGCTGCTTGTCTCAGATGCATAAATTTCTATCAATACCAATTAAACAACATTATTCACTATTAGAAACATAAAATTTGTATATTAGTAAAGTTAATGGGGCTAGTTGTGTAGTAAAATAAGAGACGGCGTTTGAAGGCAGTCTGGCTTTAGCAAATAATGACATGGGCGACGTATAGATTGCAAAACTATGACTGATGTTTGGATTATAAGTAACATGGAAATCTGAAGTAACCATGATATTATACTAATGTATGGAATTTGGAACAAATTTCATCTTCATTAGCTCACTGAAAATTTAATCTAAAATATTATTCCTATCGGGCAAGGAATACAGATTTTAATATTGTAAAATAGCAATATTAAGAAGAATGACAAGTAATCGACCCAATGAGTTGATCTTCCCAGTCCTGTCAATCAAAATTTAAGCATGAATATAACTCGAAGTGTGAGCTGTAAACCCAGGCTACCATGCGGAGACTTACTTATAAATATTTTTCTCTCACTAACTTAGTTTTCTTCGTTGGAGATCAAACCGTCAGAATTTCAATCTATAAAAAATATTTATTATCTATTTGCTATTTCGCCTGTACTCTGACGAATTGAACAATTTTGGAACTAAAGAATGTCGCATATTTTTCACGTTGCGGTAATCGTGGCAACAAATTCATAAATGAACATACATATTTAATCTTCGGAGATTGCATCGAATATTTCACTTTCTCATGACTATTCTATCCGGCTGTTAATTGTTGCTAGATCGGTAATGATGTGGACAACAATTTTTGGCTTGCCGGAGAAAGTAAATTGGATCAGTGATATATTTTATTATATATAACCAAAAAATGTGGGATGCATATACGATTCGTCATTTTCGTGAATCTGTCTTATATTCCAACGAGTGCAATTGCCAGCAAATTGGCTATACAGTATTTTTTTATTTTTACAAACACATTTAAAAACCTTTCTCATAGAACCACAAAAGCCATTACATGCATATCAGCGCAATAAATATCATTGTTTAACATGCGAGTTCGGCAGAATAAGTGTCTACAGAAACAATGGTTTCCCAAATCTGTGGGTGCAGAAATTATAATTGTTGGAGGGCTACAAGTGGCCTTAATTTTCAAGTTTTATGCGTGTATAATAGGTTCATTCTTTACCACAAACATCGATGATTGGGGATGACGCTTGGAAACCACTACAAGAAGCGCTCCGGCACACCCAAACAACATCAATATAGCTGTAGTCCAAATTGAATCTCGGTAATAGATTAATTAAAGAGTTTTGCTTTGGAATCTCAGTAAAAGATTTAGTAGTTGTAACTCTGAAAGAGATGTATATATCAGACCAGTGTTGAGTATGGATTGAGACAACACTCGCATGGCTGCTGACACTCAAAGAAAATTCCCAGCACAAAACAAGCTCATTGCTGTCACGACAAAACAGTAGACGAAGGCAAAGAAATGTCTATATTAACTTTAACAGTAATGCCATCACCCTCGTATACATACCGCGGGCCCTCTCGTGTTAGAAATCGTCTGGATATAGCGCTCTCCTTGTGATTGTACTTGACGTGGCCATCAATAGTAAAGCTAGTGATACAATGGCGACTCATATTTCTTTCTTAGGTCGCCTTAGAGAACACATAAACCCTATTAAAGACAACATAATGGACTGCTGGACCGACGATTTATAATGCAGGTCTCGTAGCATAGAGACGGTGGCGCACGGACATATGAATCTTTCTGCGTTATATGAGTGCATGTGAAACTTTTCGAAGAGACGACAGATTTTCAAAATGGATTCTGTAATTAACACGAGAAAAAAATCACTAAACTCTGTGAGAAACATGTACAACTTTGGCTTCTACTTTTACCGAAACCAATATGCGTTGGAGATATGAAACCATCTACGAATCACGTAATCGTTGGAGCCGAATTTTGGTTGCATCCAGTGACGAAATCAAGCTCGTTATTTGAAGTGCTGTCAAAAGATGCCAATAAAAACAATTAAATGACAGACATCGAAGAGCAATTGGTTTCTGAACAGATCAATGGATGTCGTCATAAATGTGCGAAGAACTAAAAACGTATTCGCAACGTTCGAAAAGTATGGGATTGAATGGCATCAGAAGAAAATAGAAAAGGGGCATCCAGTAAAATAATTGTTAGTATTGGAAATTGTTACAAGCAGATGTACTTTTTCATATTTTTAGGTGCAGGCAACTGCAGAGAGCAATGCAACCCGATTGATTATATCAATCCTCCTCATAATTAACGCACTAATCAATAGCGCAATCCAGTTACATAAATGGCAATATTTTGTTAAACAATACTAATAATTTAAGAACAGAAGTCGTTTGAATTGAAGGAAAAGTCATTCAGACGACTCACACCGTGACAATTGATCGCTGTTAAAGTTGTCATCTCTCTTGATCTGAGGATATACTGTATATATTACCAGCGTATCAATAACACCAGGCCATTATAATATTGTTTCTATCATGAAAGACCATGCACGATAAGCCAGTCCTGGAGCAATGGCCCGCTGTTAAGAAAGTATGCTATTTCATTATTGAAAATATTAACCGTACAGAATACGAGCCATTCCCCTCTTTTATGAACCGCAACATTCCCCCCCTTTTTTGAACCGCAATTTCTGATGGGGAAAACTTTTCTACTGCTACTTGTTTTGAAATTTTTAAAATTTATTATTGAATATGGGAGGTCCATAAACATGTCTAAAAACGATTTCAGTAGGTATTTTATTTTATTGAAAAATTCAGTAAAATAATACTATCATACTGAATAATAATACTGAATATAATTAATCTACAGAAAATAATACCTGACCTCTTTTTTTGTTACGTAACTAATGGTAAAAAATATAAAAAATTTGCAACTTCTTCAGTTAACACTCAATTGATATCCGCAACTAAAAACTTAACATTTGTATAAAATTATCTTGACTAAGATATTTCCAGTTGGACGTTTATTGTTTGGGTCTGACTGTCTGAGTTAGTTGTAAGTTTATTTGGCCGGCTACAATTGCCCAACATTTCTTGCTGTGGTGTGGGCAATCTTCCGCATTTCTTCAAATCCACCTTTGAAGATAGAAGCTAAACTCAAACCTCTAGTCCGATTCAGAAACAGCAGCTAGACAGATCCATTACGATTGCCAACGACGCATCACCATACAAGCTTTGTCCTCCAGGTCTACGTTATGGAGTGAGACCTTTAGCGTGCGTCTCTTCTGAGGTGGCGGCCTCGAGGTGTTGGGATTTCCTGGGGACTTCGGCAACAGCTCGTCTTCTTACGGAGGACCGGTCTCTGCTAGAGCTGTGGAGAGGACCGGATGCTGCAGGTTGGTTGTCCGTCACTTAAGCTCAGGGTGTTGTGGCAACTTGTAGCCCCGGCCGGTTTCCATTATGGATAACTGTTTCCCCTTCACTACTCTCAACCCAAATAATAAAACTCATCTTGTCTTCCAACTGAATATATACTATACCTTAGAAAGCCAAATTTGCTCTATAAATATCTAATTCTAAGATTATCATTTGAATTACAAGAGCATAGCTGCTAGGTTCGTAAATTTAAGATTTTACATTTAGAACCCTAACATTCAGCTTGTTCCAGTTTGTTCTTTGGCTTTCGTTATCATTACAATCAGTTGGCATTTATTTTTGACAGGATGGGCGGCACGGAACTTAGCGCGTCAGTTTCTCTGTGCTACCTGGCTGGCTTGCGCTGGCCAGGTGAAGCTCTTGCTCCCGATTTCCGAGGACTTCCACCGGGCAGCAGCTCGAACCAGTTAACTATTCGCAAGATTAATTTTGTGGTGTTCCCATGAACACTGTTCTGAAAGAATAAATACTTTCTTCTTTGACGTTTTTTTTCAATCTTTAATTGTTGTCGATTAAACTCTCCTTCCACTGAAATGGGAGGTCGCGCTAAAAGTTTTGTACAACATTGTAACTATCTTGATACGGTTGGCGTGCTTCTTGCGACTATTGATGCTGAATGTCGGGCCGGTAATATTCATTTCAGTTTTTCAACTTCGTATCGAAGTATACCAAAATTCGTTTATGTGCAAAATAAATAACTCAGATGACATAGGATGCATAAAGGAAAATGAAGCAGCATACAGAAACACTTAGAGGGCAGCCAGGTCAATGAGCCATCCAGCTGATTTAATTGAATTCTCCGCGCTAAAATCAATCATAAATAAGGGAGATTGGAAATTCTGCTAAGCTAAATGAACGCCAGTCTGTGACCAGTTCACCCTGAGAGCCACTAAACCATCTGTCAGACCGTGGCGTTTCCGCCAGGGTGGCCCATTGGTTAAAGATCAGAGTAACAAGATTGGAGCAGAGAGGCGCGGGTTCGATCCCAGCTCTGTGCGAGTTTCTGGTCAGAATCGGCAAAGAGGCCGGGCGGCACAGCCAGAATTCTAGCAGTGAATTGCGAGTTCGAGACCGCAAAATGCTGTGAATGTTCTGCGATGTTACGAATAGACGACAGGCCTACGGCCTAATAAACGCTGAAACCGCTATTGTATATTATTATTACAAATGCGTCGATTTGAAACTCTCTTTACCCGACTTCGCCTCAGCACGGCATGTCAGCTTCACTAAACAATGCCCTCCGTCACATTCGACAAGTCGCCTCGCCCATGTGCCTCCAATGCCCGGAGTATGAGGAAGCCGCAGGTCACGCTTGAAACACCGCAAAGTCGCAGATCACGATTGGAAACACCGCAAGCCATACTAGTTCTGCGACTGCTTGAAGCCAAAGGCGCTGTTTGCATGCAGCCTCTTCTCCAGCCAGTATATTCTTCACGACATCTGCACCCTTGCACCTAAGTTGGGACGCGCATTCCTTCTTACTGTTTGGGTTGGGACGTGCATTCCTTCTTACTCTTCTGACAGTTCTGTCAATCACATACCGTAAATGTCGAAAGGCTCGTCAAGATCAGGTGAAGCATTAAAGAGCTTAGATTTCCAATAGATTTTTTCGCTTATCTTCTTCTTTTTGTAGTAGGCCAGCAGATTTTCTTTCAAGATGCTCATTCTACACATGCACCTTGCTTGCTTCGCTTCTCCACCATGCTGCAGCCAATGAGTTGAGTTAGGTCCGGAAAGGTTTGTTTGGGTGGAGAGTAGGGGTAAGTGTGAAGGAAGACGCATGCTGGAGCTAGGCTGCTGGCTTACGAATTACGGAACCTATGGTTCTAAGCACTCAAGTTCGTAGGCCAATCTACTCAAGAGCATGCTTGTCCACAGAAAGGAAATCTAAGTGGTGAAGGTATTGGACAATGCTGGCTTCTAACATGCAATCCTCGCTCCAACCCTCAATTTTAACAAATAATAGTTTACGGCGTGAAACGCCCGACGAGGCGCAGCACGCGGTCAACACACCAAAAAATAATAATCTTTATAAAAGAATAAAATTGGCCTTAATAAAATTTGACAATACGCAATCAGAAAAGAAATCAAACATGCACGTCGTAATGATTGAAAAAAAATATATATTTTTAGTCGAATGAGATTTTCATAATTTCCTGCTTAACACGTTGACTACGAAGTGGTACATATGCGTACCACGAAATGTATTTCTCCAGGACGTAGTGGTACCTAATTCAGGTTGCCTAAAATTGGCCAAATCCGGGAACAAAAAAGGTCAAAAAAGGCCGATAACTCAAAATATACTAGTTTATTTGTGGTTCCACTATGAAAATTCCATTCATTTTCTTTTTGCAGTATTTAAAATTTAATTAGGAAGTAACCCCATCATAAATTTTAGCCGGCCAACGCAATTGAGAAAACCTAAATCACGGAATTTGTTCGGAAAAAATGACCGTCTGGCAACCCTGTTTAAAAAGGGTGCGCAGCCGTAGACCAGCAAATTAACGCTCAAATCAGCCCTGGAGCCAACATCAACCATCTAAATTCTAAATGCTATAGATATTGTCATCCTGGCACCTAAGCAGCTGTAGATAATTGACCTATCTCACCACACGAACTTTAAACCAACACTGCTTCAGCACACAAGCTGCTGCTCCACATAGTTAACGGTCAATACGTTGTTCTCCAATGCTTTATAACCCATACCATCACTTCTTACACATGCTGTTATCCTAAGTGTCCGCTGACCACAATGCATTGTCGCAAATGTGAACTGTACCAAACGGTAATGCGTCATCACTTTACTTAATCCGCAAGACGTTAACCCCGCGTCACTGTTTCCCTGCCTTACTATCCCCCAGCATCTTCCCCCCCCCACACTTACCCCGACTCTCCACCATTATCGCATACTGGAGGTTTTTCTCGCAGACCTTTGATGCTTATCCGAATTAGGTTAGGTTAAGTTAGGTTAGGTTAGTTTACAACTCCTATAGATCCTCTTTTCATAGCGTAATGCAGTCAAGTGAGCAGAAACTAAGAAAAGCCGCCCGGCAGTCAGTGAAAAAAGGCGGGGAGACGGGGTATGCGTGGAGGTAGAGTACGTTATGCCGGGGGAAAACAGCTGCGACGTACGGACGGGCTGGAGTGCTGGCTGTGTATCAACAGCGGTATGGCATAGGGAGTTGCTTACCGAAAATCGTGATTAGGTTAGACGGCATGGGATAGAGCTGTTGTACGGTTTTCAATACGGCGTAGAGCGATTGTATTGGTGGCTTACTTCTCATTAGCTCGCTGGTTAATTTCCATGAAGGGGATTTGTACTATTGGCTTTTAACATATAATCCCTTAGTCTACTCTGCCCTTTAGCAGGCTTACGCACGGAAAGGAGGATGAAAGATATGCTGGTCTTGGGCAATGCTGGCCTCTGGCATGCATCCCGGTGTTTTAAACAGTACAAAAAATGAAATAATAGTACAAGATGAAGCAATCGTAGTCAACGTGTTAATTACCATGAAATTATTTTTTAAAGCAATCAGACATTAGTCATAAGTGATTTTTAATTATCGAACTTGGAGTACTGCCGAAACCGCTGGAAGAAAACGCAGTCATCAAATTCAACAGGGAATTATTGACTAGCGTTTCCCAGAAGAGAATTTATTTTTCAGTGCTGTTCCCAGTCTCCTGCGAAACTGGTTTATCATCTAGAAACGTTTGAAAAAGTAAGTCACTTCCATCAATACTTTATTATCATGCTGCAACAAGCAGGTTTTGAGAAGGTTGAATTTTCACTGTTCCCTTTACCACGTTTTACTGGGACGCAAATTAGATCTTTCAGTGCCTCCCTTATTGACATAGGTGGTTCAATAGGAGCACTTTTAGCAGGCAAAGGAGAAGAGCAGGTGCCTTCGTCTGAAGACAAAGACACACTGCTCTCCTTCCGCCGCTTGTGGCGTGACATCGTTTAGGTTGAAATAATGATTCCATTGAATGATTCCTAAGTTTTCCTAAATACGAAGCAACAAGATTCTCGACTTTCAAAATTAGATATTCTGGCTAGGCAGCTCAGCAACGTCCACCGTCGACCGCAGCTCAAACCGAAATCTTTTTTCTTTTTCTTATTTATTCTTATAGGAGCACTGCAAACTAGTCCATAAAGCCCCTTGCCTAAACTGGGTTTAATTGGTACCTAACAGTCAGTAAAACGTGGTAAAAGGAACAGTGAAAATTCCTAAACCGGAATCGAACACCTCTTCAGGATGTGGCTGGCAAGCTCACTCAGCCTGAGGCAAGAATTATGTTGAGGAAAGTAATAGCGAGTTGAATAGCAGCTCCAACGCTGATGACAGCAATTCCCGTGTTGAATTGTTCACAGAAAAAACGAGAAACATTCCGAAAAAAGTTGTTAAATTTAATTAAAGATCCTCTGGCGAAGGCGATAAAGAAACGCATGCTGATGATCCAGCAAGCAAGCCAGCCACAAATGTGAATCCTTCTCCTTTAGAGTTTTAGAAACTAATTGATGAGAGTTTGAACATGGAATCGTGGAAGTTGAGGTTAGAGGCCTCTGCGCGCTCGAATGGAACTGCTTTTACGCTGGGACGTATCGATGATACAGGCAAAACGGCTTCTTCCTCTCAGAATGAAATAAAAGTGCCAAGTAACGTTAAAACTCCTAGCAAAGTGCATTTGAATTTAGCTCACAATTTTTTCGTCACAGAGAGAAGGAACTGATTAATGATGAAATGGATGAATGTGAAATAGCCAAAAATGAAAAATACGAAAGAGCGAGCGCGAGCAAAACTGCGACTGCCTTTTTAAAAAAAGTAGTTGTCTCATCAACGGATTCAAGTGATTCTGACGAGCTGAATGAGTACATGAAGAAATGGAGAAATGGTCGAAAGAAGGTTTATAAAGAAGTGGCAGACGACAGCCTGTCAGCTTTTATCACAGACGATGATAGTGACGGTGAAGTGATTGCGTATAATTTACCTCCACTCAGTGAACGAATTACGACGACTCGAGCGCCCCTCATCAATCGTAGAGAATATGCTAAGAGTGTCAGTGAATTTTTGAGCGGCAAACCCAACGATTCGAAAACGCCATCCGGAAGTATCGAAGTAAGGAGAGCTCCCGCAGAACAGATATATGATTTGCCAGATAGCGATTCTTCGACTCCACCTTGCGCACGAAACTTCAAGACAGGGGATGTTAGCGTTATTGTTTTGTCTGACTCTGATGACAGCGACAACGAATTGAACCACATAACTCCGAAGCTTCCGCATTCGATGCCGAATAATTCTATCAAGACTCCGACAACACCATTCCCGAGCAAGGAAACTTCTAAGCACCCAAAGTCCCACGTTCCAAAAAAATTCGCGATCGCTGAGCACGAAAGTCACACGTTATCTTTCATTGCATCATTTTCATTGGCAGCTGACGCAAGTACTACGAGGTGTCATCCAGATGCTCTTGTTTACATGAAAAATTTTAGCAAAAATCGACAAGAACTGACCGAACGACTCTATAAGTTGTTTAACTGCAAAATTTTTGAGAATAAATTGCCTGATAGTATGGCTATCACCTGGAATGTCAAGATGACGAAAACTGCTGGAATTTGTTACAACGAAGTCGATCGCTCGAAGGCGAGCGGTCGCAACGCAAGAGTTGAGCTTTCGACAAAAGTCGTGGACTGCCCGGCGAGACTGAGAGACACTCTGGTGCATGAGCTCTGCCATGCTGCTGCATGGCTCGTGTCTGGGTACAAAAGTGGACACGGGCCCGTGTGGCAAGATTGGGTGAGTAGAGCCACTGGCGTGTTCCCAGAGTTGCCAAGCATCGGTCGGTGTCACAACTACGAGATTGCCTGCAAGTACCAGTACAAGTGTATCAAATGTGGTTTCAGCATTGGACGGCATTCGAAGAGTCTTGACACGGAACGTAAAGTGTGCGGCCGTTGCCTTGGACGCTTCGAGTTGCTCGCTATGTCCGCCAGGAAGCCGACGTCTGCGACCACGGCGAGCCAGCCAGCCGCGCTCAGGACACCCAGAACGCCCGCGCCTTTCGCTATTTTCGTCAAGAAAAATTACGGCAGCGTTAAGAAGAATTCTCAGGACCTAAAACATGCTGATGCTATGAGAATATTAGGGGAGAAGTTCAAAGAGATGAAAACGGTTTAAAGTTGCGACTAAAGACCTGCAAAAATTGCTGTAAGTGATGAAGATAATAACTAATCTCTTCAGGGATAACTTTCGAAAGTAGTAAATGCCAGATATCGTTTTCGTGTTCTACAATAACCTAATTTTAAAGACTTAAACGTTATAGACGAGCTCGCGCATGTTGCTTCCCATTTATGACTTCTAAAAATCCAGAAATGTGACCCCAAGTCTAGCGTATAAGGCAACGGAACATGTAACAGTAGAGATACGAGTAACAGAAACGCTTTTCCGACACAGAATTGCGTTCAACTGCACACGCGAGACGCACTAAAACGCGTCAGATGCGTATGGCGGCGCACCGCAGAAACGCGCTTGATTAATTTATTTCTTTGAGCGGCTGATGGAGTCTTTGGCGGCTCGTAGGTTGTGCTTGAAAGTCAGGGTGGATTTTACAGGGACACATACTGATCCGCTAATTCATTAAGCCTACTCCAATAACTCCATCATTATAGTAGTATCTTGACACAGACGGTGCATTTAGATTTTTAACCGTTTTCAATTAGGATAATGAGAATTTTTAACATTTTCTTCGTAGCAAATGAAATGTGGCGACTTGTTGATTATATGCTAGATCTGGCGTGTCACCGATTCTAGACTTCCTAGATTGTTTTTGCAGCTTGCCAAGGATTTGAGCCCAGACCCTAGCAACCCTTCACCCTAGACTAGAGTATGTATAACGCCAGTGCTGGAGGAGAGTTGATTAGAAAAATACAAGGGAGTCGCGATAAAGTATTGAATTTCGCGTAGCACGTAGCACAAGCAGCTTGAAAGGCAAATATGAACTCATATAGCATTAATTAGGCACCCATTTGACTTACTTACTAGTCGCTAAGAAAGTAACGATTGAAGCAGCCCTGAATAAGTAGAATCAATTTGGTAGTCTGACAGTACCGCACGTAATTCGTGTTTCAATGAAGGGCCATAACATAAAATTAATTATTATTGAAACGTTGCCCGCGCGGTGACGCTTAAAAAGTTAAAAGAAGTAATGTTATCCCGGTGGTAGTGGTTATTATGTTCCTAATTACACGGATCGTTATGTGTGCATGTTTCTCCTTTCCTCTTTATCAATAAGTTGTTATTTGTAAATATTTCGGAAGGCTGGAACTTGATGGCGACTACGCCGATTTATCTCGGAAGTTGGAAGTGCTGCGGCAGTCTTGTTGTTTGCCGCCATACCTTATTAAAATGCCATTCGGGAACTGTCTCGTTTGTTTGTTCAGTGGTCGAAGTAAGACGTGGGCACTGGGCAGAAAGTCAGGTGCGTTCACGACGATAGCACGTGTGTGGATTGCGATCTCTAAAGTAACCGGTAAATTTGTGATTCGAAGACTCTTACTCTTAGTTTCTAAAAGTACCTAATTATCATCTTATTTGTTTCCTCATTAACCCAACTGGCTTTCTCCCTCAGAGGTTTGCCAGTCCGCATTGTGTTTTTTTTTTGTTTTATTATTTTTTGCTTAACTTTTGTTTTTTTTTTGTGATTTTTGTTTATTTTGACTTTTGTTTTGTCTGTTCCCCATGTAAGTTTTTAGCTGCCTTACGGGGTCAGGCTTTGGCATGCCTAGGCAATGGTCCTGGATGGTGATTGGACTTGGAGTAGGTAACAGAGGCTTGTGTTGAGGACATAGTGGCAAACCAGAGCTTTTTTAGAATCAGTTCATTTTTAATTTCCTCATTTACCCAAGATTTAAACCAATTTCTTTATTTTCTTATGTAAGATATACATAGTGGCAAACCAGAGCTTTTTTAGAATCAGTTCATTTTTAATTTCCTCATTTACCCAAGATTTAAACCAATTTCTAAAGTATGATAATGCTGGTATCCATGATACTTTACTGGTCTACTTATAGGACTCAAAAATGAACTTGAGGGAGAGTCTAAAAAACTCTCTGCTTTGCCACTATGCATGATACTTTACTGGTCTACTTATAGGACTCAAAAATGAACTTGAGGGTGAGTCTAAAAAACTCTCTGCTTTGCCACTATGGTTGAGGAAGCATCTTCTGATGGTGGTGGGCCCAGGTAGGGTGGTGCCGTGGAGGCGTGGACCGTGGTGGAGGAATCAGACTGTGAGAGTGAGAGCCTCGTTGAAGCAACTGCTTTGGATTCTGTTGGTATCAGAATCAGCTTGGCCAAAAATGAAGAGAGAGGGAGAGATCAGAGAAATGGCTCAAGTGAGAGTAGGTCCTACCTATTGCCTATTGGTTCAAAGGCTTAGTGCCCAACTACGCTTACACTTAGCAATAGAGTGACAATAAAAAAGTGTTCCTAAGTCCTAACCCTAGCAATTTGAAAAATTTGAAGCTCCCAACTAATGCCACTCTGCAGAGTTCAGGTAGTAGACTCACCAATGAGATTGAGTCAATGAGACAGACAATGACCAATCACCATCTTGATAAAACCACAGCCTACAGGGTCCTAACTCCTAAAGTTGGCAATCTTAGCATAACCGTCTGTTCTGTAACACTCAACCCAAGAGTAGCCTGAGTAGGTAACAGCGACCTGCGCCTTTGCTTGCCACTGATGGCGCTTCCTTCTATAGGGTAAATGCGGTATATTAGGACACATTAAGGACGCATCGAGAAATGAAAAACTATAAAAAAAACCGTATGCGTTACGTAAGTTCTGTTGCCTTCACATGACTCTCAAAACACTTCACTACGCGTCAGCAACGATGAAACGTCACAAAATGTTGCCATATTTATTAAAAAGCCTTTAGAATGGAAACCTACCAAATCCCTATATTCCGTCACTTTGTGTGGCAACATCCGACACGTGGTGAGTCGTATTGCGTCAGCGCTTCAAATTTAACTGATACGTATTGCCGACATCCACGTGTTCGAATTCCGTTTGCTGTGTGAGCTGTATTGGGATACAACACGGCTTTGAATTAGAACACTAATGAATATTGAACACTACTTAATTACGTTTTAATTAACAGCTATTAGGCTTTTAATTAAGCAAATTTCAATTTTTGTACAAAGCTTTGAACGATCTGTGTGTGTCCAATTCAAGTTGTGTCGGAATTAGTTTTCATGTGTCGAAATCCAACATCTCAACTTAATAAGTTAATCATCTATTAATTTATTTACGACTTGAAATCAGCGAATACAAGTATACTTAAAGGATTCCTAATATATTCACAGACGTATTTGAAAGTCTCAAACCATAATATTCTTCATATAAAAACAGTTATTCACTATTTGGTAGAGCCATGTCAACTGTCAAATTTGACACATTTTTCGATGATCTCACCACGTGGCATGCATTGTCTCTCTTTGGATCTCAATATTTTCCCACTAGATGGCCAAGACCTAGTGTTTTTGCAGTATTTCGACACGCAAATGTATGACGTCACCATTTCAACCATCAATGAACGCATGGAAATAAAACAAAGCTTAATATAAAGGAAAAGCTGGAGAGGTGACAGAATTACCTACGATGTCGGAATATACCGCGTTTACCCTACATCAGTATGAAAATGTTAATAATTTCATTTTATTGAGCTAATTTTAACCGGATTATTTGTTTCCCCTCGCAGGGTGTCGTACTACATGGCCCCTGGGCCATTCTAGAATTGGAATTTGCTTCCCATCTTATTAAGTTTTATAGAATTAAATTATCAATACAGACTTATTACTATTGAATATCAACAAATAAAATTGATTCTATTTTACTAATTTAGGCTACTAGAAATTTAAAAGCAAAGAAAACAATACAAAAATTCAGCATATCTCTTTCAAAAATGTTTTGGAGACCAGCTCCATTGTCAGTTTAATAAATCTGGAAGACAAATACAATCAGAAAATTAAGTTTTGAGTCAAAAGAGTAAACACAGAAGTTAAAAACCTAAATTTACAGACAAAGGACAGAGTAATAAAGTAAATACCTATCTATTTACAATTTCTAATGGATAAGAATTATAGGCTGCATTTAAACTAGGCTTCTCTTTAAAAATATACAATTATTCCCAAATATGCAGATCAGATGCACCAGAAATAGAAGCTAAAACATTAAAGTCAGTGTCAGACACTGAACATTGCAATGTTTGGCTTTAGTGCGCACAGCCAAATGAGGAGAGCGCGATAGTAACTGCCCAGTCTCATAACTCCTCTATGCTCAGTGACCCTAGTGTAAAGGTTGCGTGCCGTCATTCCAACGTATGCAGATGCACATCATGCACAACTAAATTTATAATTTAGCGATTATTGCATGTGAGAAGGGAGGATATCTTTGTAACTAAAAACAAACATATTTTGAAATTATTCACCAGTAAGATTCAAAGATTAATGTCCAGAAAGTATTTCATAAACAACTTTTTTAGTTCTCTTGACATAATTTTGGACACATGGCATCCAACTTTTCCTTTCTGTGTGAGAGTTTTTTAGACTCTCCCTCAAGTTCATTTTTGAGTCATATAAGTATATAGACAAGCAAAGTATCATGCATTACCAGCATTATCATACATAAGAATTTGGTTTAAATCTTGAGTAAATGAGAAAATTTAAAATGAACTGATTCTAAAAAATCTCTGGTTTGTCACTATGTGTGGACAAGCATGCTTTCGAGTAGATTAGCCATACTTTGGATGCGTGGCTGAAGCAGGTATTGAAGAGAACAGTAAACAATGTTTCTAGTTTCTACTATCAGGCTCTGGAACAACTTCACTGTATTGCTTAGACATTAATTTCTTAATTTGGGCACCTTACAAATAACATGGAATTTTTCAGAGATGTCATTTGATAGCCTTGAAAAAAAAAACATTTAAAATGAGCTCAAACTTGTTTATGAAATGTTTAATGCTCAGAAGTAATCAATGAAAAAAAACTTTTATCCTCCTGTTTATGGTACCTTCTTGAGAACTGTCGGAATGCCTGCTTGCAAAAGGTGTAGGCAAAAAGTTCAAAATTATATATACTATGCGATAGATTTGTGTGACTTCTTGTTCATGCAATTATCCACTTGTGTTTTCTAAATGTTCAGTATTAAGAAACAGCATCATATGCATAGATCATACATGTGATGATTGGTTGCCAATCTGCATGGTGGCAGGGAATTTTTAACAAATACTTCAATGTCTTAGTAGTAGCATCAGCGACTTCTAGTCAGAGGCATTAGGAAAAAAACAGAAGCATTAATCAAACAAATATCAATATATGTCAATCAAACAAATATCAATATATCAATAACAAGAGCATCAATATTGTAAAAAAATATATGGTAATTGAACTACTTTATTGTTTTTTATTACTTTTATTTACTACTACCTTTTTTTATTTACTACCGTACTACTTTTCATTTTTTATTATTTTTTAATATTTATATCAATGGAATTGCCTCGTCTCTGAATGTGAACTGCAAGATTTTTGCCAACAATGCCATTCTATATGTCTTGAGAAATTCTTACGGTGAAGCGTGTGATTATATTTCGAAGCTAACAGTGAATTTGGCTAGATGGCTCTTAACGAACAGGCTTGTGGCTCACACAGATAAGATTAAGTTGATGCTCTTTACTCCCTGACCCGTTTTCTCTCTACGTGACATAACCTTCAATGGGAAAGTTTTAGAATGGGTTGATGATTTTAAATATCTTGGTTTAATAATCAAAAATAAGTTTTCCTTCAATAAACCTATTCCATCATTAAGAACGCTTTTTTACTCATTGTCCTTATCTAAACTATCAAACACGTTGCTAATCTGGGGTGGGGTAGGTACCTTTTAATTCCAAGAAACGGGTCATCACCTTAATTAATTTAATAAATCATTGCGTATAATATTTTGGGTTAGGTATGATGAAAACAATATCTCATTGACTTGTACTAGTGCGTTATGTAAACAGTAAAAAATTTTAAAACTTGATGATATGTACAAATTCCAGCTTTTAAAATTCATGAATAGGGCACTTTTCCATGATGAATGTCTTTTTAATTATGCATTTGCCTCTCTTGTTCCTCAACATTCCCATGACACCAGGGGCATGCGCTTTATCTGACCCCTGGTTTGGTTAGAAATTGAAAGAAATGGTAGTTTTTAATTGTGTAAAATATTTTAATGAATTGTCTGATGAGTTTAAAATAGATTGTTCTAAATTCATTTTAAAGACTGAATTCTGTGATTTTATTTTTACCCAGTATTATAATTTGACTTTGATTATCATGTAAGATTTTAGTAATTGCCTTTCTTAATAAGATCTTTGATAAATATTATGGTGTAAGTCAACATTGTTTTGACTTCATCTTAGCTGTATCTGTCTTTTAGGTATAGGTTGTTATTACCTTTGTTATATTTATTTTTAGTCACCAAGCTGCTTACTCTCATATATATACCATATACGGACCAGCGATCAAAATTATCACTGATTTTAAGGGGACCGGCTACCCTAAAACCGAGGTAGCCTATAACTCCTACAGTTATTATCCGATCATCATGAAACTTCACATACATACCCACGTAAAATGTAAAAATAATAACATTTTACTTCTATGAATTTTTCGAAAAAATTGATAGAAAACGTGATATTCATAGAAAACGGACAAATAACAGGTACTACCGTAAAATGGGGTAACTTAGACCGGCGGGGTAACTTAGACCACTTTTCGTTTTTTTAACAAAAACCCCCACAACTCAAAAAATATTTGACATAGAAAAATTTAATGGTAATTTTAACTTAATTTCCAAGCCAGTCAATATTACCCCATCAGGGCTGCCATTAGGTAGTCACATTTCCCTCATTATGGGGTGGCGCCCCCCATTTGCAAACTATGACACTTTCCTCAAGTTTGTCATTTGCATATGTAACTAGAAGAGTTCTACTACAATGCATCAAAACCTGAAGTTATTTGGAGTCATTTTACCAAAAAATATAATTGATTTTACCACCCGGTCCAAGTTACCCCAAGAGCTGGGGTAACAAAGGCCATCACTTTTTTTGAGATTACATAAAGACTATGAGAGGCAGGAGCCAGCAATTTATGGTGAGTGAAGCTAGAGTATAGACCTGTATTTTGCATGTTTCAATTCAAGTTTAATTTAGCTAGTAAAAAAATGGCATCATTTATAAAAAAGAAAGTGGTCTAAGTTACCCCATTTTATGGTATAGAAAATCTATCTCCTCCCACAAATATTGTCCTACAATATCGAGACACATATCATTAGATTCGTAAAGACCATACCTATCAACTCTGCCATCCCTTTTTTCATTTTACCCTTAGTTTTTTTATGCGCGTTTTTCCCATTTTTTCACTTTTTTCACCCCCCTCCCCCCCCTTCTCCCCCATATATAAGACGAACCATGCACAAATTAAAAAAAAGCGATGGCTAGGTCGATAGATATTTTATTTACAAATCGAATGATATGTGTCTCATTGCTGTAGCTTGAAAACTATAGGAGGAGATAGGTTTGCAGTGTGATTAATCGTAGGTTTTCACGGCGCCCAAAAAACTGGCGGGCGGCACGTAAAATGACGTAAAAGAGTCGTAACGTAGCCAACATACTGAAACTAAGCCCTAAAAGTAAGTGAGGAAGGTGTAGAGCGAGTGGCTGCACACCTTCCACCTTGCTGTCATGATAGGCACTGAAAGATTGCGTTGCATCCCACAGTATACGTAGTCATGCCTCCTATTTATTGCCTTAGCAATTAGTGAAGGCCGCCCCCCACCACCCCCCATTCCATGGGGCGTGGTGAACGTAAAAATGGAGGTAGAGAGATGATTCTGCTACCAATAGAATTGTCTGAAAGTAAGCTTTAAGTTTAAGATGAGTATTAGCACTGGATAATGCCATGATAGGCTGCTTTACGTCAGGCGTTCCTTTTTAGTTTGTCCAGCCCTGTAATTAAATCCCATAGACATTTGTTAAAGGGCCTAAAAACTGCCCTTCTTTGGGAAGCTGTCACGAAATCATTTTTCGACGTACAGGGATGATTCTGGTACCGTTGAATGCGTCAAAAAGTAAGCTTTAAGATGAGCACAAAAATCAGAAAACGCCAGAAATGAAAATTTTAGGGTAGCCGGTCCCCTTAAACCTGAATTTTCAGCAAAAATTCCATTTAAAGTTATATCAGTTTTATCAAAGGTTAGTTTATAAGGATGTTTTTACTTTAGGCACTTTCTGTTCACTTTGACTTATCTCATTATCATTACGGTATATGTTATTGTTCTATTGAGAGTAATTTTGCCTATGTTGCCTGTGAAGCTTGTTAGCTTATATATGCATTCACAAGGAAGCATTTTGTATTTTTTTCTTTAAATTTAATTTATGGTCTCTTCTTACGTATATTTTTGTGTGCTCCTCTGTGAATAAAGAATAAAGAATACTACCATACCTACCTAGATACATGTTAATCTGATTGTCATTTCCAGAGCGCTGATCTTGGGTGCAAGTAAATTGCAAGAATGGAGGCTCCTTATCACCAAGACTTGCTTGCTGCTGAAGCCAGTGATGAGGAAAATGATTGGGATTTTGATATTTCCAGTAAGTTTTTACTCAATGCTGCATTTTTTTGATGTTCAACATTCAATTCATTCATTAACTGAAGAAAATACTTGTCAAAATTCCTCCTTTTGATCTTAAGAATATTCACAGTATGTACCATCATAACTAAAATAATAAATAACTGCATCTGCTTTGTCACTGTTGCAGTTTTTTAGGGGTAAACCTACTATATTATACAGAATAATTTAGTTCATCTTATACCTCAAACTATGTTTACAATTAACTCAATGAGATAGAATTTGTTTTATTTTTTTTTTGTGCCTGTATTTTCATGTAGACAAGATAATATAAACTAAAAAAAATGCCTGCATTAGCTTGTTTAACATAAAATTTTAACTAAATTATGACCAGTCAAATTATGGATTTTTTTACCATTACTAATGAAATTTCTTCTCAGTAGGGACCTCGGCTGTCACAGGCATGGTTGGTGAGTACTGCTGTCCTAAGACACACCAACATGAGCAAATAAATTGAGTCATGTTGATAAATTAATTTATAATTTATAGATATTTTACTGTCGCTAGGTATTTGTGCTCATAAGATTTTAAACTTTTTTTGCTTCAATCACCAGCATTTGTGAACAACAGTGAAATCTTGCAAATATGTAAAAAATTAGGCTTAAATGTTTATGCAGTTTATGTCAATCATTTTTAGTTCACGGATGTTTTCCAGTGTGTTCCTACAAGAAATTTAGTATTTTGTTATATTTCATCCCTTTATGTATAGAATCAAACATTGCCCTGTCTTCCAACAGATAATACATCGAATATTGTGCCCCTACATTCTCTGCTGGTTTCGTCAGTACCTGCAATTATGAACTCCGATGCAATGGTTACTGATCAATTAGAGGTGCGCTCTGTGAGCGTCTCAGCGGAGGACTCCGTGGGAGCTTTCTGTTGCCAGTTATGCTCCTACACTTGTGATAATAAGGCCATACTACGCAACCATACTGAGAAACACTCCTACACCGAGACACTGAGCTGTGTTTATTGCAGCTACAAAACTATCAACGAGGTACATTTTGCCCGCCATATCTCAGATCATGAGATAGAGAAGCAGGCGATTGAAAATGCGGTTGGAGAACCAGAGCCTGAGGATGACTGGCAGGTGTATTACACTGGTCCTGAAGAGGACAGTTGCCAACCATCTACTGACTTTGTATTTGTTAAAGAAGAACCTCACGAAGAGGCAATGACGGTGGAACCTATCAAGCGTAAATCAGTACCAGATTTTAGTACAAATTCATCTGCTCCAAAGAAAAGCAAGATGTCACATCTGCCAGAAGAGTTTGAGCCAAAAGTAGATATCGAGCACTCAGTGCTTGCTACTACTAGGATGTATTACAAAAAATGGCGCTGTTCTGCTTGTGATTTTAACACGAAAGACATAGAAGAAATGGATGAGCACTTGCTGATTCATAATGGATTTGAAGGATTTTCAGAGCATTCCATTGAAACAGCTGAGGGGAATAATAGGACCTCTGAAGTCAATGACCGCCAGGTCCCTCATCCTGAGAGGGAAACTAGGGGTGATGACAAAGGTCCTTGCCAGCCGTCAAATAATGCAAAGGCCATTGCGAATCCTATTGAAAATATCGTCATAAAATCTGAGAAGAACAGTGAAAATAGTTCTGCATTAGAAACTTATACGAGTCGTGATAATACATCTGAAAACATTACAAGTTGCGACTCTCGCCAAAACGGACCTATAAAATCTAAACAAATAATAGGAATGACAATGAAATGCCCGTTTTGTCCCACTGTTTCTCCAGGTCTTATTGCGCACGAGAACCACATTAAACTTTACCACATTAACGAAACAGAAGAGGCACCACAGAATGACAACAGTCCCCGCGTAAGTTCCCGCCCGTCGACGTCTCGTTTCAAACGCGCTCCAAACCAACAACATGACAGTGCAACCTCTAAATCTGCTTTCAATGATTCTTTCACTGATTTATCTGATGAGGAATTTGATGAACCCCCTGCTAAAAAAGTCAACAACAATGCACCTTTTACCAAGAAAATTTCTACTGTTGGGAGGCATGCAAGCATTCCAAAAGGGCTATCACAAGAGGAACGACCTGTTAAAGTTATATCTCGAGTTAATGGCAAGTTTGTCCGTCCTAAACTAACGGCAGAAGAAATGGCCAAAATCACTATAGTATGTCCAATCTGCCCCTATAAAACTTTCATCATTGAAAGATTCACTGCACACATGAGGAAACTACACAAAAATGCTGTGGTGTACCCGTGTAATTACTGTGCATTTTGCTCGCTTGACAAGAATGAGTGCTCAAGGCACCGGTCAAATTGTGGCAACCATACAAGAATTCCCTTATGTTGCCCGCTATGTTTTTGCAGAACTAATTATTACAGATCTTTTCTTAGACATGCTAAGTGTTGCTTGACTGTCATGGAAGAAGATGGCTTTCATCTTGAAGGAGATCATGCGTGTGTATTCTGCAAGTACTCAACGCATGACTTGGAGTGCTTCAAGAAGCATTTGTTGAACCACGTTAGATCTGAAAAATTGACTTGTCCGAAATGTCAGTTTGAGACCTGCCGTAAAGACATGTATCGACTGCACCTGACGATGGAGCATAACATCGTGGCCGCACGTAAGATGTCTTGTGCTCATTGCACTTACACCACCACCAAACAGAACCTGCTTGAGAAGCATATAAAATATAATCATACAACCGTACGAAAGCTCAAAAAAGCTCCTGCTATCAATACATACCTTGATGAAAACGAAGATGCTTCTGGCTCTGACACTGATCATGAATATACGGAAGAAGCTTATGAAACTGATGAGGTTGCGGGGTCCAGTGGAGTTGATGAAGATTTAAAAGATGAGGTTGACTTCCGACGTGTCACCCAAGACTGCACGAGTGATGATTTCGATCAAGATCAAGACAAATGCACTCCCAAGAAGAAACAGAGTTCAAAACCTTCAGGTGCTAAAAGCTCATTTGCAAAGAGCAATACCAAGTCAGCCAAAACTGCTTCTCCCAAACGGAAAAATTCAATTACTGCCGAGTTCATATGTCTTTTTTGCTCCAAAAAATGTGATACTCGCATTGGTCTTGAACGCCACGCCAAGATCCATGCCTGCGAAGGCGTCTTCACGTGCCCGATGTGTAATTTTTCCTCAGCACATTTTACACTTCTGAAGAGTCACTTTAAAAGCTGTCATCCGGAGGTGGTTTTCTAGACCACGGTTTGTACGGGGTCTACAACAATAACTCAGTGCTAAAAGATTTGCTGATCACAGCGTTTCACTTCTGACGTATTTGAATAGTTTTGATTAAGTTTTTATTTTCATTAAGACAAATTTAGTGGACAGAAGCTGCATTTGTGGAAAGAAATGTTCAAGCTATCTATTCAATTAAATATGGGGAAGTAACTCAGTGTTGTAGAGAACCATGCGCTCAGAAATGTTTCTGTTGCCCGACCCTCTTAGAGCAAACAATATGGAACAAATGATGCATTCCAAATTAAGTGAATTCTGACGTCAGTGTCCGAACTATATACGAGCTGCTGTCAGTAGTAAATTGAATTAATTTTAATTCGTAGATTTTGGTTGGGTGTCATTTTTATCTCAAGCAACAGACTATTAATGTGTTGCTAGTCTATTTCAGTATTCCATGTAAGCTTTGATACTGTGAAGTGACATTTTCAATCAGTGATCATTTAGTCTCAAGTTAAGAGCAATCAGGAATTTATGCATGTCAACTTGTAAACGGATATTTTTTTTCAATTAAGTAACTAATTTTCCCGTGATGTTGTAATGTATATAACTGTCTTGCATTCAGCTCCCCGTGATAACCCCAAGATAAAGAATCGAATCAATCTTGAATTCGATAATCATTTTGTCTTGGCATTTTACAAATGCTGTCTATGCGCATCTTTTCCTGTAAACTAATTTTTCTATATTTAATATATATATGCTCCTTTAGAACTATTTTGCAGACTTCATTTGTATCGAAAAATTCCCTTGATGATGTCATGTGCAGCATTAACATAATTTGGCTTATCTTAGGTTAGAAATTATTTGACTTTATTTAGAATTCAAGTTTTGGGCTTAATTGTTGGTTCACACAAGTCAATTGGTAAATCAGTTGACGATTGTAACTGTGAATAATTCAGCAATTCATTTTATTCAACGGTTCCTTGTACACTTCACCCCATTGTAGCAAGTCTATGAATATTCCTGAACAAATTTCAGTGGAGGTAATTTCATCTTAGAGGTAATCATGCGGGATTTGACGCATTCATTTATTTGTGTGAAGCATTTATTTATATACATTTATGTGTGTGCATGACTACTTCAGGTTACGGCATGTTGTTGCGTCATGTGCTTTGGAACCGCCACTGCGAAAAATTCTACTTTATATTTTCCTGAAAACCTCATCAAGCATATAAAAAAATCCTTATAAACACAATTAAATGCCTTTCGTCTCGCACGGAAATGAAAATTGTGTGATATGCAATGAATTTCATTTATCGGGATTGACAAAATTTCATGTCCCTATTATTTAAAATTGTTTGGGATCTAATTATGTGAGCGACGCAACAACATGAAAGGGATCGGCCACCCTTGCCTCCAGTGCCTTCATTCACTAATTTACCTTTAACGTAACACATGTATTGACATTTTTATCACTTATTTCATCTTATTTTTTTCTGAAATTTTGAATTCGAATGAGAAGAGGGATGAATAGCGCGTCACGGTTTTCTTTTTTGTTCATTTAGGAATTTATGATTTAATAACGAAAAATAAATAATAAATTAATAATAATAATAATAAACATAAATGTGATATGTATAGTGTTAAAATTTGTGTGCGTGAGTTGCCACCAGGGAATAATGGGAAGAAATAACGGGTAGCACCGAGTGATCAGAAAAGGAAGAAGAAATGGAAAAAGATTCTGTGTGTTTGATGCAACATAAATATATAATATATGGTTTATTGGTGGACGCGGATCTAGCACACTTATCATGTCGGGATGTTACCAGAACCTCAAATTTCATTCTTAATAGGAGAATAGGACGGGATTGGACGAATGGGAGGAGAGGATTAGATAAAAAATTCAAGTTTGATTGCGCAATATGAGAGATTCAAAATATTTTTCTTCACATATCTTGAACGAGATTATAATGTGTGCTTTGAGGGGCCTTAGTTTTGGAATGATCAAGTCTGGGCAACACGGGGCTAATCTGCTAATTATCAAATCATATCCTCTCAATTGCGTTTTATGAGCAAGAGAGATTGGTATTTTATCGCTTTAATTGGTTTTCCAGACAGGAAATAATCAACCAATAATTAAGTATTTAATAAATAACCGTTTCACTCCCTTAAAAATTTGCTTTATCTGTCTGATCTGAGATGGCCATGGAAGTGGAACTCAGCGGCAGTAGTTCTAGCTTTGAAATCGTCGAGCCTGTGAACTTCTACGGAGAAGCTGGTATGTGGTGTTGTAGTTTAATTCCTTAATGCAAATGTTCTCATTTGTTTACATTTTTTAATCTCTCTGATCGCGACTATAAATACGTGAGTATTGTTTGTCCTTGAATTTTGGATAATAGTCTTAAAATGGCAAATTTATTGTTGCTCTGTCTTCATGTATCAACTTTTGTGATGAGATGTGTGTTTATTCTTGTAGAAACGTGTTCAAAATGCATTTGTGAAGCTACTGATTCGATCACACAATTTAAATTTTTTGGATGTTTCAGGTGAGAACAGCAGTTCGTTCAGCAACATCCAGAGTCGATTGACCTACGAAGCGGTTGTCGACCTTCTCACCAATACCCCTGACTCGAAGTGCACATGTTGGCCTCCTTCGAAGCCCAAGAATGGCGACATCTTCATCTTCACTTACGAAGACGAGAAGCACCACTTCGACTTTGTGGCCGATGGTATGAATTGGCGCAACCAGGGCACCAGGTTGTACTCAAAAGAGGGCATCGTTGTCAAGAAACGCTACTACCAACGCAGAATCGGCAAAGATGCTGTGGATTTCCGTAAGAATGTCTTCGAGATCAGCAGCTTAACTCGAGTTTTGATCCATTACTTTGGACCAAGGGACGAGGATCTCCCCGAAGCCCCGCATGGTAATCGCAAAAAGCATTTGGATAAAGGGCACGTACGCGTCATGCCGTCCGTGCTTGCCGACATTAAGGAAAGCAAGGACAACGTTGGAGAGATCTACATGAAGATGGTGGCTGAGTGTAAAGTACCTCCGCAAAACTTCAAGGTTGCCATGCCGCGGAACATTAAGCAGGTCGAGAACAGGAAACAATATGAAAAGAAACATGAAGGCGTCGAGAAGGTTGATGTTGACGAGATCAGTTCGCTGTTGCAGCTGAACACAGACCTTGGAGGCTTCGTGAAGTACCTTTCGTTTGTGCCGTGCCTTAACATTGTACTGATCAACGAACAAGTTCTCGGTGACTGGAGCGAAATGGCAAGTAGCGGTGAGAGGTGCCTCTTGTCATACGTCACACGACTCAGGGTCAGGGACATCTACATTTCTGCGCTCATTGCTCTCAACCACCAATTTTCTAACGAGCCCGGCGTACCGCTGGCATACCTGCTGCACCAGCGCAATTCTGTGTCGGCCTACAAGCTGCTTTTGAGGGAAGTCAAAGACGTGGCTCCTGCTATCGACTCAGAAAATATATTTGTGGTCACGGAAAGAACACCGGAGGTACAGGACGCATGGAAGGAAGTGATCCAAAACGCACCCCTTTTCACGTGTTGGGAGAGCATCAAGAAAACAGCTTTTAACCACCTTAAGAAACTGAGAGTCACTGGACCTGAGCGGAAAACCTACATCGAGACACTAAATTCGTTAATGACTTCTGAATCTGAAGAAGAGTACATGAATCATTACGAGGAATTCAAGCACATTTGGATGCACGATTTCAGTGCTTTCTACGACACACAACTCTTTGACGTCATAAAATCTTCGATTCGTGGCAATCTTCTCTTACATGACGTGTACTCCGAGGACCGTGGTATAGTAGCTATCGAGTGTGAAGGCTTCAACGCCGTCCTCCTTGGCTTATCGAATTGGAATAACCCTAATCTGGACGGCGTGACGCTATCGCTTTACATGCTCAGCTGCTACTACCAGAAGGAACTGGACAGGGGCTATAAAGGTGATGGCCCGTGGCGCCTGAACCCTGGATATGAACCTCGTACGCGAGTGCTGACCGACGATGCTGCCATGCTGGAGGGCGTTGTTGATCCTGATCAGATCGTGCAAATTGTACAGAACAAAGTTAGCTCGCAGCCTTCAGTGTAATTCTACGATGCCAGAATTGTACGGAAGATATTTGGCTTGCATGCTCTGCAAGTTCCGTAGTCGATAGAGCATGCCAGCGTAGGTGTTAAGTCCACCAATTATGTGCCCAGACCTGGAACGTCGCGTTAATATGTATGTATAATTATGATTTGCATTAGGTCGTGATTACATGTTATTTAATTGCCAGTGCATGCCTCTAAGGATACCAGTATGATCGCGTAGAAGTCCCGACGAAGTTAAATTTTGCTATTGTGTGGTGAAGCTGTCGCAGGAGCTATTTTGTATATTTTATGATAATTAATTTGCAGTACAGTTCTTATTTATTTCACGCCAATAAACTTTTTTTGTACTGCCATTACGTTTCATTCCCTGGCTTGGAAATATCGAGACCGCGGGCCCCGAAATTTAAGCCCGTTGTGTTGTTATACAGGAAAGCGAATGCTTTGTGCAAATTCCTCCCTTTACCAATAAACTCTCATCAACAAGTGGAGCGAGGAAATCCCTGTTCATGAATTAACTTAAACTAACAACAAATAGAGCGAGAAAGCCAGAAGCATAATTGTATTTTTCTCAAGAAAAATCTCCCGCAAGGAAAGGAATTGAGTAAGTTTTCGTCCAGATTTTAGAAGTAGGAACTGCCTCACAAACGATATGGATTTTGTAAGCGGCTTCTCATATCCGGAGAATATGAAAGGCATAGAGATGTCAGAACCCTGAAGGCATGCGCCATAATTTTTTTTGAAAACTTCATACATGTTAGTTAACATCAGGATTATATTCATATATACACACAGTTTATACACAAGTGTAGAAATTTTAAATTAAATTAATGAATCTCATCCCTCAGCAATAAATATGCTCGTAAGAAAGCAAAAAAATTTGCTTGCATATACTTCTATTGTTTTGAAATTATATATTATTGATCGTTGCAGCACGATTGAGTGTGTGTGATCCGTGAACACGGCTCACTCACTTCAGTCTTTCAATTCATGAGCTTCAACAGTCAGCTGTTAGCAGTGGTAGTGTGAGGTGCTGTTCCGTGTTTAGGTTTTTGTTGCATTTGAATTTAATGATACGAACCAGATTAACAGTGTTTTCTCGTTAAAGTGGTACTGTACAGCCATGACTGAAGATGAATCTAGTGTTCGCGTCGCCATCAGGTTTGTTTATTTTTATTATAGTTTGTCCGTTACACTGAGGAAGGAGTTCCAGGTCGCGGCGTCGTTCCGAAATGTGTCAAGTTTGGGATCAGTTATGCACGCGTATAATGCACCTTCGGTATTATTGCAGATTAACTACATGATCTACATCCAAAAAAAAGGGTGTTTTTTTTAATTATATGTTTTTTGGGGTGTAGATTACGAATCTGATATCCATTTTTGGCGGTCGGCATCGGAAAACCGATTTTTTGCAATAATACCGATCACACGTAGCGCACGACATCTTGAATGAAACTTACCCGTTGCACTGCAACGGGTAAAGAAGACGAAAATGTTACCCGTTGCACTGCAACGGGTAACATTTTCGTCTTCTTTGTCCATAAATCTGGAGATACATTGCCACATCGAGAGATCACAACCTAACGCCAACTCGCAGGTTGGGTTGGTTCGCCCAGGTTCCTTTTAGATCAAAATGCTATCTAAAAAAAAGGAACTTGGCTGACTTAACCCAACCTAAGAGCTTTTTGTAAAATTTCGATGAACAATCCGACCCTTTATATAAAGGTGAGTGGGTAACGTAAGTTACGTAACCCCCATGTTAGTAAATAAAGGTGAGTGGGTAACGTAAGTTACGTAACCCCCATGTTAGTAAGTCGCGAAAAAAATCGGTTTTCCGATGCCGACCGCCAAAAATGGATTTCAGATTCGTAATCTACACCCCAAAAAACATATAATTAAAAAAAAACACCCTTTTTTTTGGATGTAGTTAATCTGCAATAATACCGCACCTTCTATCGGAAAAATAAATATTCCAATATATATTCTACGTAAAGAATCGTATCAATTTAAAAGCCGCATGAACTGATGTCTTCTACGAAATAAAATTGATCTAGGAATTTGTTCGCGGAATTTATGCAACTTGTATCATGCAATCGACATGCAAAAGAAATGCCACAGAATAGTTTGAGGATATTTAAATACCTAGGTGCAATGTCAGGCGGCCGTAGAAGGCGTAGATGCCATTAAAACTGCAATGAAAACTTTTAAATGTCACTGTTGTGGCAACTTCAGGAGTTTTTATGATTTTTGATTTTAAATACTAGTTGTTTAACTTTATTTTAAAGGAATAATTTCAGAAAGCCCAATTTGGAATTAAGAAAAATTGATATTTTGCGGTCAGGCAGCTCTTATCCAATGAAGTTTAAACTGAATAAACTTATAAAGATGCCATTGTAAACTTTATCATGATAATCCAGTGATTGTGACAACTGACAAGTTGAATACAAATTTCTACATGATGCATAAAGTTAAAAAAAATCAATATTTTATTTATATTACAGCTTCACACATAGTGGCAAAGCAGAGAGTTTTTTAGACTCTCCCTCAAGTTCATTTGTGAGTCCTATAAGTAGACCAGTAAAGTATCCTGGATACCAGCAGACTTCACATATTCATCCCTATAATTCATCATAAAACAATCTTCATAATTTTTTTGGGGGTGGATTTTTCAAATCCCCATTGTTTTGTAATGTCAATGCACTCCATAACCTGTCAACTTTCAATATTATAATATAAAAGTAATAGTCAATTGCATCTGCAGACTAAGGGCCAGTAAGGCAAAAGAGTGAAAACAATGTATATATATCAATTAATATGAACATTTGTCCAGTATATATTTATATCCTGGATCCATATGGATTTAAATTTAGTCCCAGTTGATAATTTACTATAAATTTATGTTGAAAATTCAATAAATTCAATATAAATTTATGTTGAAATTACCTATCTATATTTTCTTCATTTGTATGCAAATGATATATATGAAACCTATTAACTATTTTTATTAGTTGCAGTCTTACTTTTACATTACCTTAATAATGTTAGTAACCAATAGTACCTTTTTTTATTTATAAATTATGTGGTTTACATCTCAATACTTCTGCCTATGGTTTCTTGGGGCTATGATCTAGATGCGATATATATGCAATACAATCAGGTGAATAATGACATGAAGGTCACACCTGCAAGCTGCTACCAGCCTCAAAATTTATATACTGTTGAAAGTAGAAATGAGACCTAAAATTTGTTGACAACAATTTTAATAAAGATTTTGCAGCTATTTCTTTGAGATTGTGCTTGATTTGTTGATGGGCTATTTGTTATAAAAGAGCATTTTGGCATAGAAAAGAGTTTTTTTGCTCTAGTTAATAATGTATTATGTAAGCAGACCATCATTACACTGGGAATGAGATGACGCCAAGGTTTAGCAATTGATAAAATTTCAAACTCCAAAATGTAGACAATATTTTGTTTGCTGCTGCACCCTGTTGCAGAAGTGAGCTGTTGTCCAGTAAATCTGCTGCTTGTGCAGATGTATGGTACCACTTGTTTAGATGGTTTGTATGCCATATATCCAGGGGTTAGAAAAAACAAGGGAAACACCTGAGAAATCCACAAAACATATTTTAGTGTGGTGTAGGTCTACCTTTTGCAGCAATTACAGCCTCAATTCTCCAAGGTCTTGATTCATATAAATAGTTGATTGTTTTCAAAAGAATTTAAACCCATTCTTCAGTTAAAACTCCTTCCAGCTCTTTCAAAGACAATGGTGGCAGAAATCAACTTCTGACTTGCGTCTCAAAAATCAACCATAAATGCTCAATAATATTCAGGTCTGGTGATTGTGGTGGCCAAATGAGATGCTCAACTTTATTAAAATGTTCCTTGTGCCATTTTTTAGCAATTTCAATACTACCAATTTACGCCACTCTAAATGCTTTGAAGCATTTTTAGTTGAAACCAGAGGTTTTCCCATTGCAGCTCTTCCATAGAATTCAGATCTATACAGCTCTTGGCAAACAGCCTTTATAGAAACTGGGTTCTGTAGACCTGTGTCAATTAAGGTCTACTGTAATTTTAACAGCCATGGTTTTTTGATTGTACCTCACAATTTGATTTAGGTACCAACAATCTCTCTCAGACAACTACAACTTTTGGCCAGACCTGTGCTTTGCTGAGGAGGTTTTTCCATCTCTTTCAAAAGCAGCCATTACTTTTGAGACAGTACTTTAGAAACTGGCTCACTAGTACCTACCTTACGGGCACCAACAATTTGGCCTCTTTCAAAGTCAGAAAGGTTTGCCATCTATAGGTTAAATGCTAGGTTATAGACACAAAAATTAAAAAAAGTCTTTGTGCAAGGATTAAATATCAAATAGCAGCAAAAATAAAATCCAAAAATATGTCACGTGTTCATTGTTTATAACATATTAAAAAATTACGATTTTGAAAGGGCAGGCGTTTCTCTTATTTTTCCCAACCACTGTATAGGGATGAAGCTCCCTACAGTCATGATATGTAGCAGCTCCTACATATGACCTGTAGCACTTCAAGTCGTATAGCTAGCTATATATATACCTACATGACTACAACTCCCAAGACCTGCCTGCTCTTGCATGGCAGTTTTACATCCAACCACAGCTATCATCTATAGGTATATTTCTCATAAATTTATTGCTTGTTGATTAGATACTTTCTTATATTTGGTCTAGTTGTCATTTGTTTTAAGAATGTAGACAGCATATTATATTAAGTTTTGAATGTTCCCCTAAGCTAAGCAATGAAATAAAGTAAATATTAACTTTGAAAACTAAAATGTTATCATTTACTTTTTAGTGTTCTCATATGCTAATAAGCAGGTATTTTCCTTAATCATTCAAATTATTAAAAATGAGTTTTTTTACCTTAAAGAGCAGACAAATATCAAGCCAATGATAACTTGCGTCTCACACGGAGTGTTGCGTCTCACACGACGTGTTGCGTCTCACACGGCGTGTTGCATCTCACACGACGTGTTGCATCTCACACGACGTGTTGCGTCACACACGACGTGTTGCGTCTCACACGGCGTGTTGCGTCTCACACGGCGTGTTGCGTCTCACACGGCGTGTTGCGTCTCACACGGCGTGTTGCTCTGCACTTAGCCTAATTAGTTGAAGTGAAGCGACATAAAAATGCCCTTCGTTATCCAATCATGGGCATGTTTATTTAAAACAAAACATTCTTATGTTAATTGATTGAGCTGCATTTAGCATTTCAGGATTCTCCTGTTGTCTTCAAATGGACAGATATTTCTTCAAGCAGTTCTCTTGCAAAGATTGCAAACGAGCTATAGAAGCGGTTCGCTGTTTCTGTAGGAAATGTGACCATGTTGTATTACCTGTTCACTATTTCATCAAAAAAAAAATACTTTCGTTTGCGAAAAATTATCTCTGGTTGAGACAACGAGACTTCAAAATTATCTCTGGTTGAGACAACGAGACATCAAAATTATCTCTGGTTGAGACAACGAGACAGTTATCTGAAGAGTTTATATATTATTTGCGGTAACAGCGATTGTACAATATTTTGAAACACCAAACTCCTGTGTTTTAAGGCGACAGAAAGTCGCTTGTCAGCTTATACGTGGACGTAAGTCACTCCCGTTGCCTCTTTTAGCAGTGAAAGACAACTCCGTGTCATTTATCTCGCGACTTCATAGTGCACTTGAATTAGGATGCTTACCGAGTATTGTTATTTTATATTATGACCCATGAACACTCTATGTAAGAACGTACTGCTTGGTACTTTTTTATGAAATTTAGTTCTTTTGGATACCGATGTTTTTGTCGGTATCAGGGGTTGTTTCTGTTGCGCGGTGCACCGTATCCCGATGTGCTTGTCGGATGATGGTAGCTCAGTCAAGGTGTTGCTTCTGTTGCGCGGTGTACCGTCTGTCTCTTATACACATCTAGATNTGATGGTAGCTCAGTCAAGGTGTTGCTTCTGTTGCGCGGTGCACCGTATCCCGATGTGCTTGTCGGATGATGGTAGCTCAGTCAAGGTGTTGCTTCTGTTGCGCGGTGCACCGTATCCCGATGTGCTTGTCGGATGATGGTAGCTCAGTCAAGGTGTTGCTTCTGTTGCGCGGTGCACCGTATCCCGATGTGCTTGTCGGATGA